TGACTATTAGCAGCATTTTATATAGTTCCTCCACTGAACAATGTCTTCCCTAGGTTTCCAGGACACCATACTCACCTGGTTTCTGGTCAACCGTTTTCAGTCTAATTTTCTGGCTTTTCCTCATCTCCCCAAATTCCAAATATGAAAGATATCAATAGGCAAAACACTCTCCGACATAAATCACAGCAGGATCCTCTATGATCCACCTCCCAGAATACTGGAAATAAAAGTAAAATAAACAAATGGGACCTCATGAAACTTAAAAGCTTCTGCACAACAAAGGAAACTATAAGCAAGGTGAAAAGACAGCCCTCAGAATGGGAGAAAATAATAGCAAATGAAGCAACAGACAAAGGATTAATCTCAAAAATATACAAGTAACTCCTGCAGCTCAATTCCAGAAAAGTAAATGACCCAATCAAAAAATGGGCCAAAGAACTAAACAGACATTCTCCAAAGAAGACATACAAATGGCTAACAAACACACGAAAAGATGCTCAACATCACTCATTATCAGAGCAATGCAAATCAAAACCACAATGAGGTACCATTACACGTCAGTCAGGATGGCTGCTATCCAAAAGTCTACAAGCAATAAATGCTGGAGAGGGTGCGGAGAAAAGGGAACCCTCTTAAACTGCTGGTGGGAATCCAAACTAGTACAGCCACTATGGAGAACAGTGTGGAGATTCCTTAAAAAACTGGAAATAGAACTGCCATATGAACTAGCAATCCCACTCCTGGGCATACACACCGGGGAAATTAGATCTGAAAGAGACATGTGCACCCCAATGTTCATCGCAGCACTATTATAACTGCCAGGACATGGAAGCAACCTAGATGACCATCAGCAGACGAGTGGATAAGGAAGCTATGGTACATATACACAATGGAATATTAGCCATTAAAAAGAATTCATTTGAATCAGTTCTAATGAGATGGATGAAACTGGAGCCCATTATACAGAGTGAAGTAAGCCAGAAAGATAAAGATCAATACAGTATACTAACGCATATATATGGAATTTAAAAAGATGGTAACGATAACCCTATATGCAAAACAGAAAAAGAGACACAGATGTACAAAACAGACTTTGGGACTCTGTGGGAGAAGGTGAGGGTGGGATGTTTTGAGAGAATAGCATTGAAACAAGTACACTATCAATGGTGAAACAGATCACCAGCCCAGGTTGGATGCATGAGACAAGTGCTCAGGGCTGGTGCACTGGCAAGACCCAGAGGGATGGGATGGGGAGGGAGGCAGGAGGGGGGATCGGGATGGGGAATACATGTAAATCCATGGCTGATTCATGTCAATGTATGGCAAAAACCACTACAATATTGTAAAGTAATTAGCTTTCAACTAATAAAAATAAGTGGAAAAAAAAAGATATCAAAACAGCCCTTATCCCTCTTCTTTTCTCTCCACTCATCCAATGGATGATTTCATCTGTTCCATGGTCTTGAAGATCATCTATGGACTGATGACTCTCAGATCTCTCTCCTGACACAGGACTTGCATATCCAAATGCCTTCCTAAAACTTTTTGGATATCTAGTTGATATTTCAAACTTAACACAACAAAATCTCCCATCCCCCACTTGCTCTTCCTGAAGTCTCTCCAGTCCCATTAAGCGGCAACTTCAGCCTTCCAATAACCCAAGCATACTGCCTGGGAATCACTCTTGAATCCTTTCTTTTTCCCACATACTATATCTCATCCATCAGAAAATCCTATCAGTTCTTCCTTCAAAATATCAGCAGGAGTCCAGCCACTTCCTTCCACTTCCACTACTACTATCATCTTCTGCTTGACTGTAGCAATCTCTTATAACAGTCACCATTCATGTTGCAAAGAGACAGCACCCCCCAATGGAGTAACTAAAGAAATTTTAATTAGGGACTGTTTACGAGGATACAGACAGGATTAAGGGAAATAAGCAAATAATGATCAAGTGCTTAGTGTCCAGCATGGCTTTGGGGGCTAATGGAATCATTATTACCCTTAGACATACCTGAAAGAACAAGGAGTGGGAGTAATTACCTGAAGACACACACAATAGGAACTCTACTCCAGTGGACTCCTTTGGCAACCACCATAAAGGAAGATGGAGAAAGGAAGACCATGAACTCACTCTCGTCCTGCTTTCTGATCTGCTGATCAGACATAACTGAACTCCGAGCTAGAAGACAAGGGAGTCCACTGATGCAGTCCATTAACTTCAGCCTCCTAGCCACCTGTGCTCCTCTGGGAAACAGAGCAGAACGGAAAACAATAGAGAGGGATCTTGGGGGGCAGGGAACAAATGTATCTGGCAAAATACCCTCATCTGCAAAACAGAAATAAATATTACTGTTATGAAGTAAAATAATCAACATGAAGCATTTAGCACAGTGTCTGGCACATGGTTTTTGGGAAAGAACAAATTTTATATGCTTGGCATTAATTTCCAAAGGTGGATTTTCATGGAGTGATGTTTCCCAAACTTCAGATTATGACCAATTAGTGGACTGCAAACGTAATGGATTTTCTGGATTTTTTTCTTTAAATAGGAAAGGAGCATACATCTCAGGAAGCAAGTGCAAGTACTGTCTCAAAAACATTAATTTCCATTAAGTTCAACTTAAATTCACATTAAATTCAATGTGTGTGTGTGTGCACATGCACATTCAAGTATGTATTTGTTTCCTAGAGTCACAAGCTAAAATATACTTCTTACTATTAATAAGAGTTATGGTCAAAAAGCGTTTGAAAGTCACAATTCAAGACTACATCTAGATACTCCCTCTAATCTCTCACTTATTACTCTCCCAAAAGTGACTTACTTGGTCAACAAATTTGAGAGGGGAAATTGAGCAGATGTGCTTGAGACTTTTCTCATTATCTGGTCATTCCAAGTCCCCTCTACTGTCTTCTCTTATTCTCTATGGTAGCCTAAATAATAACCCCCAAAGACATCAAGTCCTAAAACCTGGAACCTGTGAATATTACCTTATATGGCAAAATTTTTGCAGCTATGATTAACTTAAGGACCTTAAAATGGGGATATTATCCTGGATTAATACAGGTAGGCCCTATGTGCAATTATATGTATCCTTTAAAAGGGAGGCTGTGAAGATTCTACACACAGAGGAGAAAAGCAACACGAAGACAGAGTAGAAAGGGATTTCAAGATACAGACCTTTCTTGAAGATTGAAGTTATGCAGTCACAAGTCAAGGTATGCTAGCAGATACCGCAGGCTAAAAGAAACAAACAGTGATTACTCATTTATTTATCAGTTAATAGACTTTTAAAAAATTGCTTTGAAGGATTCTTCCCATGCCTTTAGTGTGCTTGCACTCACGAGTGAAGTGTCATGAGAATTGGGAAGAACTTTGCATTCTGACTTCCCTCTGACCTTCCTTAGTAATAATAATAGCTACACACTGAGCGATAAGTATGTATAGAATACACAATATACATCTCTATCCTTACAAAAATTTGCCAAGATAGCCATCATACTCTTGTTTTACAAATGAGAAAATGAAGAGTCAGGAATAACTTGCCCAAATGCACATAAATAGTAAGTGACAAAGGTTGTGGATCTAGTTTGATTTGCATCCAAAAACAGCTATTTGCACTTCGAGTGTCTCCCTATGTTGTCCACCCCTGGTTTCCTAAGTCTAGGCTTGTGTTCCTCGAGCAAGCTACATATCATAGCTTGTATATACCAAAACCATATGTAACAGGAAGTTTTAAACATAGGAACTTAAAACTTTTTTCAGGTCAATTTGATCCCAAGGTCATATATCCTACTTATCTTTTGTAGTTGTTGGGTTTAGAACTAGATTTTAAAAAGGCAAAAAAGGAAGATGTACACTTAACACTGGATCTCAGTTTTGGATAGTTTGTTAACAATAAATTTCATTACAGCTCAGGGCTGCCTTGGAGATCCAAATACAGACTCTTTTTACAGAGGAGGAAAACAAAGCCAACAAATTCACCTATTTGTCTAATAACCAAAGAGCTCATCAAAGCAGAATTTTATTGCAGTGTAAACAGACTTCTGATACTTTCTAAGTGGAATTAATTCCAAATTTATTTTCATTATACAAACAACACACTGCAAAATTTTCATTATTGTCTTCATTGTTTTTCTCTTCTCCTTTTATGTGTAGATACATGATACCCTGTAAGGCAAAACCAAACATTACTTTTTATTTTGAGAAAGGGAGTAACTTTAAATAGCATTTTTCAGTTGAGGTGATTCTGAGATCCCATGATCAGAATATTAACTGTCCTTAAGCTGTAGTTCCATTCCACAAAACCAAACCGCAAACATTCACACAAGTTCCCGTCAAGTCACGTATTTAAATAATATTATTTTAAATAAAAGAATGCCACGGAACAACCCCCGAAACAATATGGTTTGCTCTTTTTTCTAGAACATCTTTTTGCTATACTGTATCGCTACATTTATGTGGCTTTATGGTGGAATTGTAACGGCAGGTATATGGATATTCATTACTCTTGACAATTACAAACAAAATAAATGCCAAGTGGAGGTGCTAAGACGTAAAGCAAGAAAAACGTTCAGAATGAAGCTACACAGTATTTGCTCATGCCCTTCTATACCAAAACCCTCCCCGTAGGAATTCCTAAATACTCTAGGCCCAGGAGCAAAGAACAAAACGGGGCCAGGCTTGAAGGACAAAACGCCGAGAAGCCCCCCCTTTGAACCCAATTAGGAGGTGACGCGCCTATCCACCAACCAATCCAAAGTCGCGTTCTCCACCCGCCCACTGCTTGAGCGACCTTTTCCTTCCCGTCCGCAGGCCCACTTTTACGACAGTTTTCCGACTTAGTTTACGGCCGCCACTGCCGTATTTCCTGGGGCGCCCTTGCCTAGGTGGTTTGTAACTGCTGGTGCTGGACGAATCGCTTTGTGATAGAGGCATAAACTTGGTGGGCTGGGATGAACCGCGCTCCTGGTGGAGACAGGGGAACCGAGCAGGTGCCATGGTGAGTTCGGCCTTCTGGCCTCTTGGGCGATTTCAGGCCCAGTTCTCAACCTCAGCTCAAGGCCTGAGAGGAGAGGAGCCGATGTCTCCCTAATGGGACTCTGAGCTGGGGGTGTAGCGCCTGGGGGAGTCACCCTCTCTAGGACACAAAGCTGTTGGCTCACCGCTCTCTGGCCTTTGTGCCTGCCGTCCCTAGTGCTCGGAGATAAATGGAAACGCACTTGATTATACCTGCTGTTCCCCTCCATCTCCTCGCAGTCCTTTATCTACATTGCACTGTCTTCCCCCTTTTCTCTTGCTGACACACTTCTCGATTCCTATACATATTTGGCCGAAGGCGCTATGAAAAGCTTATCTCTTTGTTAAGCTTACGTTTAATGTTGAATCAGAATTTACCGGAACCCTCTGTAAACAGTTCTTTCTCCGGCAGAAACTTTATTTCCATTCCTCTTGATTGAATTTAAATGTGACTTCACTTTCCCTGAGGTGAAGTAGAAGTTTTCAAGGGGCGGGAAATCATCCATTGTTGTAAAAGTAAATAAGCAAATCAACTTGCTTTGTTTCCTCCCTGCAGTGAAAGCCCCCTACCTTTACAATGCATTGGATGTAAAATTTGCAGGATCCTTGGGCAGAGTATTTTCATCCTCAAAGTTGTTTCTCCCGTTGAAATAAATTTTGTAGTGAGTTGAAATGGGAGAATGGGCATGATAGGATAGGGTGAGAATGAGAGAAATAAATACTTACTCTGCTTCCCTTTACCAGGCCAGTACAGTGGTAGCAGTTGGACTGACCATTGCTGCTGCAGGATTTGCAGGTTTGTTTATGGTTTGGGGATGGAACTGAAGTAGGAGACGTTGTTCAGTTCAGTCGCTCAGTCGTGCCAGACTCTCTGCGACCCCATGAATCTCAGCACGCCAGGCCTCCCTGTCCATCACCAACTCCCGGAATTTACTCAAAATCATGTCCATTGAGTGGGTGATGCCATCCAGCCATCTCATCCTCTGTCGTCCCCTTCTCCTCCTGCCCCTAATCCTTCCCAGCATCAGGGTCTTTTCCAATGAGTCAACTCTTCGCATGAGGTGGCCAAAGTATTGGAGTTTGAGCGTCAGCATCAGTCCTTCCAATGAACACCCAGGACTGATCTCCTTTAGGATGGACTGGTTGGATCTTCTTGCAATCTAAGGGACTCTCAAGAGTCTTCTCCAACACCACAGTTCAAAAGCATCAATTCTTTGGCGGTCAGCTTTCTTCACAGTCCAACTCTCACATCCATACATGACCACTGGAAAAACCATAGCCTTCACTAGATGGACCTTTGTTGGCAAAGTAATAAAAAGTCTGCTTTTTAATATGCTATCTAGGTTGGTCATAACTTTCCAAGGAGTAAGCGTCTTTTAATTTAATGGCTGCAGTCACCATCTGCAGTGTTTGGAGCCCCCAAAAATAAAGTCTGACACTGTTTCCACTGTTTCCCCATCTATTGCCTATGAAGTGATGGGACCAGATGCCATGATCTTAGTTTTTTGAATGTTGAGCTTTAAGCCAACTTTTTCACTCTCCTCTTTCACTTTCATCAAGAGACGTTGAGGACTTTTTAATTATTTTGTTGCTTTTGTTTTTAGGTCGTTATGCTTTGCAAGCCATGAAGCATATGGAGCCTCAAGTAAAACAAGTTTTTCAAAGTCTACCGAAATCTGTAAGACTTATTTAGCACTTTTGCTAATTCTTTGCTGTGTATGAAGCCTAGAGCCAGACATTCACGGTGTTCTAAGTGATTGCTTTAGACCCCTTCTCTTGCTTCTCATGGGAAAGGTTTATAAGTTCTGAGCTTTGTAATGGGGCTAAAGAATCAAATGTTATATATGATGGCTTTGGGGAAGGGATGTTACGTATCATGAAAGGTAATGTCACTTTATTGTTCATATATGATTACCTTTAGCATCATGTGCTCTGCATCACACACACAGAAGGATCTAGGGGTCTGAAGTGACCCATTGTTACCGTGTGGCTGTGGCACTCCTTAACAGCTTACTTGGATAACACAGCAGTTAGTTGGGCTCTGGAGTATGACTGAATGTGATAATACCCTCTGTGGTCAAAATTCAGAGTGAATATGATTTTGACAATCTGTAGAGAATTTCCTTTTATTGTTGTGATTGAGTTACATAGTGGGTAATGGTAGGCTTTACCAATATGATTTCTGACACATCGAGGTCAATGGACCTAATAGCCTGATTTTCTTAGTACTATCTTAAAGTCTTGTTTTAGTAGCCGCCTTGAACCTCAAAACATCCTTAAACAACTTGCTCACAAATCTCCAGATCCTATAAAGCACTTGTTCTAAAACATTTAGTCATAGTCTGAGAACAAGTTTTTATTTGAACATGGCTAGCTTGGCATAATCTTCCCTTCACTCCCAGAAGAACCGGCTTTGAGGCATTGTTATTTTGTCTTGTTATCTTTGACAGTTATAGGTTGTCTGGCAGGGTGGGAGGTTGGAAATGGATGTTTAATGATCATTAAAATACCTGTTGCTACTTACAAGCTAAAATACCATAGGAATTACTCTTGAAAGTTTTCTGCTGGTTCTGTGAACATTTATAGACTTTTTTTTTAGCAACTTTCAGTTTGATAATCTTTTCCTACAAATTCATTTCCTCTTTCAGGCCTTCAGTGGTGGCTATTACAGAGGTGGGTTTGAACCCAAAATGACGAAACGGGAAGCAGCATTAATACTAGGTGTAAGGTAACATTTCTTACATTTTTAATATCTTTCTTTCAAATTTAGAGCTATAAGCAAATGTTTAAGAAAAACCTTCTCTCTTTTATTAGGAGTTATTTTTTATTTTTGGCCACAGTGTGTGGCATGCGGGATCTTAAGTTCCCCAACTAATGATCAAACTCATGCACCCTGCAGTGGAAGAAGGGAGTCTTAAACACTGGACTGCCAGGGACTTCCATCTATTATATACATTTTTTTAAACCTTAACATTCCCTGCAAAAATCCAAAGAGAAGGCCCACTGACACAGAAGTACTTTTTAACTCACTGGAGGTAGGTTTTTCAACAGATAATCAGTACTCAGTGTTGTTCTCTATAACTGAGTGACAAATTTTGTGGTGAAAATTCTTTCATTTCCAGATACTTAAACATGCTTTCCAGTAACAGGATTGTTGTAATAAATAGTTTCAAGTTCAACTCAATTTTTGAGAATACCTTATTTTTCTAAGGAGCTCTGTTAAGTTCTGTGATTCAGAATAGTCATCTTGTGTTAGAGAAGAGGCTCCTAGGTAGCTTTTCATACTTAATCCAGTTTCACAATTTTCCACTTACCTTTATAGTTTTTTAATATGACCCAGAACTAGTCTGAAGTAAACAATACCTTTTCCTTTTTTAAATTAGCCCTACTGCCAATAAAGCCAAAATAAGAGATGCTCATCGACGAATTATGCTTTTAAATCACCCAGACAAGGGTAAGTATCATTAGAGTTGTTAACACATTTTGTTGGGGTGACTAATTGTTAATAATGGGATAATTTTATAGCTAAATCTTGGCTGTTTTAAGGAAAATGCTTCATTTTTTTTGTGAGCATTGTCTCCCAAGCTGGGTCTACTTGCTGTTTTGATATCTTAAAAGAATAGAGTGGAAAATTTACTTATAGACTAATAAGCAGATCTAGTAACTACTGTTATTTGGAAGTAGTGATAAGCATTAACCATGTTTTGAGACCAGCAGTTGTGATGTGTCTTAAATACTGCTAATTACTTTTTGGGGTGGGGTGTGAGGGGTGTCTACATTCTTAAGGAAAATGTTGAATTTCAGTTAATGAAACTAACGAAAACTTTTCCCCCCCATCCATTTAGACTTTTTAAACTAGTGGTTATCTAGTTAGAGAATTATAGGATGTACTTATCAGTTTCTGATACACTTCTAAGCAGCCTAAGGCTCTGTTGAAAGATCAAATGGAATACCAAAATATAGACCACAAAATCCATGAATCAGTTTTTAAGTGCTTTTACTTTCATGTGAGAGGTCTCTCATTAAGAGTTTTGGCTTCAGTGGGGTGGTAGATATTTGGTATTTGACTGCATAACATCTTTTACAAAACTTAGCTGGTATTAACTACATTCTTGCCTGGAGAATCCCCATGGACAGAGGGGCCTAGAGGGCTACAGTCCATGGGATCACAGAGTCAGACACGAATGAGTGACTAAGCACACACCAGAGAACTTCTGATTCCTTAGGTCTAGGATGGAACCCATATATTTGCATCTTAACTAAGCTTACTGATTGCTTGCTGGTTTGGGGCCACACTTTTTTGAGACTCACTCAAATCACAGCTCCAGTTTAGAAGGAAAGCAGCTGTAGGTGATACATGAAGGGACTATTGGTAACTGGAAAAGGAACTAGAGTGGGGTCTTCCAACAAAGCTCAGAAGCCTTTGACAATTTCATCATTTTATAATAATATGATAAATCAGTGTTCATTTATGAATAAGGTAACTTACACTATTTCAAAGTCACATGAGAACTTTTTAAAATCTCATTTCTGTTTAAGCTTTTTCAAAAGGTACCATTTTGTGTGTGTGTAAATCTCCCTCATTGGAATACATCATTTCCCATTGATCAAATACATTAACTGTTTTTAGTCATCCGGTTCCAGTGTCATAGCTAATTTTTTTTAAAAATTAAAATTTCATTTCTGCTCATTTCATCTTAGATAAACAGAGGAGTTCTTGAAACAAGGTAATAGCTTTTCACCAGGCAGAAATTGGAGAATCCAATATTATAACTATTCCTTTTTTCTTTCTTTCTATAGGAGGATCTCCTTATATAGCAGCCAAAATCAATGAAGCTAAAGATTTACTAGAAGGTCAAGCTAAAAAATGAAGTAAATGTATGATGACTTTAAGTTCTTATTCACTTATGCATACCAGCTTTTTATAATAAAATGCCTCAAATCTACAAATTTTAGAAGTTATTTAGTACAAGCTAAATCAAAGCCTTGGTATGTTTAAATTGGAAGATTTTAAATCAGATTATAGATTATTTGTAGGTTATTTTATGGCTAAATGCATACCATTTAAGTGTTGTTCACTACTCATTTGACAGATAATTTGGTACCTATTTCAAGACAACAGTCTCTGCCCTAAAGGAATCCCCAATCTAATGGGAGACTGATAATTAAAATGTGATAAATATGATGGTATTAGCACAGGTTGTTTTAGTAGGGACTCATCTCATTGGGAGGGAAGGCTATTCAAGGTACAGAGGACTCCCTAGTCACTTAGAACCCTGAATTTTAAAGTGAGTTTAGCCATAACATTTAAGAAATTGATGTAAGGTATGTATTTACCTCTTTGTCAGTGATAAATCTGAATTGTTTCAGATTTCATACATTAAAAACTATAATAGTATGATAAAGATTTGAGAGTACATGTTTTGTTTTTAATGAAGTATGTGCATTTTATTTAGGTAGCCCCTTAAAGAGACTATTTATCAATTAATTGGTTATTTACATAATCAAGTTAAACACTTGTTAAAACACAGTAGGCAGAGCACTACTTTGTAGATACCAGGTGACTCATTTTAACAGCCTACTGGGAAATCACAGGTGATTTTGGAGGTATTAACTTGAAAATAAGAAATCTGCTAATAATGAGATTACTAGCCTTTTATTTCAATCTCCCGGACTAATCAAAAATTGTTTATGAACGAGAGTTTAGTATCAACTAAAAACCAAATTTTTCAGACACATAGAAAATACGCCCAAAGGCAATCAAGCATTAACTTTAAAAAGGAAAAGTTCATATAGTAGGTATACTTGAGTGTTTAATGCAAAAATAGCATATGTGTTTTAAGAGAAGTGTTAAGACAATGGAATCCACTTTAAAATAATACTAAGGAGCACAACAGAGCATTTTTCTTTCACAGTGATCAGTTTTTCTTTTTCTCTAGGCTTACCTTTTAAGAATCTATTATTTCATTGAAAGCTATTAGACTTACCATTTTTCTTGGGTAAAAGTCATGAATTTGAGGGCTCTAGGTCATGATAATTGATACAAGTATGGATGATCTACAAGACAGCCTTCATTGTTCAGTGTTTTTTTTCCCCCCCAAAATACTTGTGTATTAACATTTATTGACTATGATGTGCTAGCACTGTGCTAAGCATTTCCCCTGTATCTCCAAAGTAGTTACTATTAAAGTACATTTTACAGGTTCAGTGAAGTTAAGAAACGGCCAAAGCAACACACTGGGTCAAGAAAGCTGATCTTTTGCAAACCCAAAGATCTATGCTGTTAACCTCTACACCATGGTACCTTTCAAAAATATAACTCAGGGTTGTCTTCCTTGGTGGTACTGAGATACAAGTCTGGCACTTGTCATTACACTTACACCTTGGGGCTTTTTATCGGTTTCTCCTTTCAGATGTAGACACTTTTAAAAGGGAGGAAGGTTATGGTTGAAGATAGGACTAGGGAATAGGAGATACAGGTTTCAATAGCCAGGGAACTTTGAGCAACGAATCTATATGCTAAGAGCTCTGCTTCCTTATCTGTTGGGGGGGAGGGGAAGATGAAAAATTGTGATGATTTCTCCACATTCTTTGGATGGGAAAATGAGAAACTATGCTGAGTTGCACAGCTAGTGAAACTATAAGCCCAGAATATGTTCTCCAGTTTACTATGTTCACTTATAATTTGGTTCTCTATGTATTAGTCCTTAAAAGATGCCTATTTACAGCCATCATATTTAGAACTAGCATACCAGAGGTTTAGTTTTCCTACTGACCCCCTTTCCTTTTGTCTTTACTGGGCCTCTAGGTTGTCATCATTAAGATGAGTCCTAACTGCTTCATAAGCTTTATAAACCTGCTTTGCTGGTTATGAAAGTAGGCTATAATGGGCAGTCCTGAAGTTAAATCTATTCCAACCCATGAGAGTTTTAAGCAAATTCTCTTGCTTTCAAGTATTTTACAAATGATGGGAATACCTATGGAAGCATTTAATACAAGTCATGCAGACCAAAACATTCAAGAAATAATTGAGAACCTGTAGGAAAATAGATGGAACACAAGTCCGTATCTATATATTGTGATAAGCTTGGTTTTACAGTTTTCTCTGCAGTTCTTAATTTCTTCTGCTCTAAATTACAAGAAGGGTAAAAGGCAGCTAGATGTAACATGAGAAGTGGAAGAAACTGGATAACTACCGTCTTAACACAAGGGTGAAAACCTAAACACGTTGGCCTGTTACACACTAAACAGCTGTGTAAGAGTCAGCCACTAGAAATTGCACGTCCTCTGCCCTAAAGACGACCTTGTATCAGAAGCCGTTTAAATTAATCCAGGCAGTGTCTTCATTTAAAAGAGATAATCAAACAAGCTTAAACACTTTAGGCTAAAATACTGAGTTTTACTGTTTCAATGAGAATTTATAAGGCATCTTTCTGTTGATAATGACCTGTTAACATTTTTGCACTTCAGAAGTGTGTCTTGCAGTCGTATTTTACTCAGCATAAATGATTCCCCCCAAACATGTTAATTCCAAAGAAAATTAAGCAATTGGCTCCAAAACGTCAAAGGACAGAACATGATAAAAGGGAAAAAAAAAAAAAAAAAAAACTAAACATCTGAGGTTAAAATTAAAATACCAGAATATGTTTTTCGTTAAAGAATCCTGGACTGAGAGAACCTTCAGTACCGGAAAACTTAAATAACCTTAAGCTCTGCTATTTGTTGTTGGCACTGTTGTTCAGTGCTGTGTATCTGCTTGGAGTCAGCTGTTGCCTTAGCAACAGGATATAGGAAGAGCTGCTCTCCACTGTTAACCTACTATTCCCGACCTGATGACAAGGTCACATAGTCCAGTGTTAAGATATAATCTTGAACAAGTTAACACTTGCTGTGGCCTTAGTGGTATTTTAGTTAATGGAATTTCAAGTGAAGTCTTTACGTGACTTTCTTTACAGCCTGAAAACAGCAAGGTGAAAAATGAAGCTCAAAGAGGTTGCAGTACGAACTCCAGACAACAATGAAGCATAAATTAGTTCATCTAGAAAAACTATGGGATAATTTTTATAACGAAAATTGTCTCTAACCTAGAAAATGAGTAGCTACATTTGACAATCCAAGTAAAATAAGGTACAAAATACAAAAACATCCAGAAAATACCCCTGTAATTTCACTCTTCGCCCCCCCGCAAAATACCACTCATTAAAACACAAACTTGAGAAACTGCTAACTAGTATACTTAATAGTGGAGCTTTGACATTAAGAATATTAGTAAAAAATAATTTTGCCCTTTATTTTTAGATTGCATACAACATAGCTGGAAATGCCTGGGATAGATACATATATAAAACAAACACATTTTAATTCAGCATACTCTTTTAGAGTACACAGGACTACGGTTAAGTGTCACACAGTATCTAACATATGACTAGAACCAAGTTATATTAGAAAGGCCCTTATAGGATCTAGTTGGATAAAACAGTATAGAAAAGGGTAGTACAACTAAGATAGTGACTCCCAATTCTGTACTTCAGTACCTGAAACATTAATATAGAAGATACAGATGAATCTGAATCTCAAGTGGTCCACTGACAAACCATTTTTTTACAAAATTTTATCTCCCTTATAGAGTATGCACCTCCCTCATCCAGTAATTAGGGGTTTTCTGGATAGTTAGAAAAGATTCACTGCTTGGATGTCCAGAGTAAATGATTATACCTTAAAACGTTATTATTATTAGGTTGAACCATAAGAAATTGTCGCTTTTGTGGGTCAGAAGTGGTCAGCTCTTGGCAATTTCCTATGTTTCAGCATAACTGACATTTTCAACCAGCAGCTGAATACAGTGTCAAATTACCACCACTTGCAAAAAGTTTTACTATAGCAGAATGCAGTTATTGCTTTATTCCGAGTCCTCTGAAATTAAACCCAAATGCTACCATAGGTTAATCATGGGTTATAAGTGACTATTACACATTCAAGCATCCTTAATAAGAAACTAAAACTTAAAATTAAGGGGTCAGCAAATTCACTATATCAGATATCCCTATAAAGGGTACAAGGGATCCAAACTGTAAATAGCAAAGATAGGAAGACTGAATGAGACTTTACAATGAACACTCTACTTGCTACCTTCTGGAATATTGCTAAACCCATAGATCTAGTTCAAATCGAAGTTCCTGGAAACTTAGAAAACGTAAGTAATTTTCCTTTACTCATTTCCAATCATCTGACAGGACTTAACTGCATTATATAACTAGTATTCCATCCACCTGTCTTTAGTAAACTAAGCTCACTGTAGGCACAGCCTATAATAATACTGACTAGTTGGTTTCAACCTCAAAAGTCAATCTGTTTACAGCAATGTTAATAACATACCAACTTTGCAGACCATTCTCAGGTTAAACACCAAACTTATAGCAAACAGTAGCTACAAAAATACTTCCAAGGTGATGGATCCTAGCCACAAAAGAATGGCTGACCAGAAAAAGAGAGTAAAACACCAGCTTAGTGTTTTCCTGTTTAATTATTTTGCTTACCTGTATATATCTATACTTGCTTTTTAAAGACTATTTACTTAAGCAATCTTCCTCAGCCTGGTCCTAAGCAGTGTCTCAGTGGTTTGAACTCACTACTTTGATATTCTTTCTCTCACCTTTACATCAAAATACAGTAACTACTTAAGACTTTTATGTATCCCTACTATAATTTTACCAACAATGACTGACCTGTCAACGAGAGGCCTAAGGGATCTCAAGTTTCAGGAAATGATCATTTTTACACCCATGTAATCTCACCTCTTAATCTGTAATTTAGTTCAGATATCATATATAATTTTATATATATGCTAAAACAGTATTTAACCTGCAGAGAAACTTTAGAATTGGTGGGGGGATGGGAGGGGGGTCACAGTGGCTGGCAAATTCTCCCATAGCAACATTTCATGTAACTAATAGCCAAAAAAGATGCACCTCTCTCAAAGTTTGGAAGGCTACCTCTATAAAGAATAGTTACCTTTGGGGACTGGGCTTTTCACTTCTAAATCTGAGCATGTGATATTTTTAAAAAAGAGCCTATCATGATGCTATAGTATGTATTTTTAAAGGATATTGGGATTAGTCATTTGTAAAAAATGAAATCTTAATATTTATATCCTAGAATATGGTTGTCAGTTCTAAAAAATTTCTTGGGCTAACTCCACTTTTAAGATGATTTTGTGTTTCTTCCTTTCTCATTGAACCAGTCTTTACAGAACAAGAAGGATTTTCATGAATATATTCTACTACCTGGAAGAAAATGAAAAATCATTTTCTTTTTGCCATATTTACCAATTTGGAGATTACTGAAAATTCCCATACCTTAATTTGTAATTCTACTATTGAAGAGAAGGATAAAAAAGCCAAAAATGTTACTTGTTTTTAAAATCCAAAGACTGCACTGTTCACACTACACCTTTAAAATTTTCCATTATCAGGGTTTTAGGGAAAAGCATTTGATATTATCACAGCTTAACCTCACCAGTAATAAATCTGAGGGCTAAGGTTTATATACACTGACCTGACAAATATTTTTAGCTACACCCTGAATTATCCTTCAGTTGTAAAATCACTTGTTTTTTTAATGCACATAACAAATTAACACAAGTTATGCACATAAAAATACTTCTCAGATCCCAAGTGAACAAAAGGGCTCCCTCTTCTTGCTCAGTAGTCTTTATATAATATTGTGGAGCAAAACACCCTCCCACAAATCCACAATTATTATCAACTTGTGAACTTTTACTTTGTGTAAAAGTTTGTACATTCCTAACATTAAGCCATCTGGACAAAATATTTACACAACAATCCAATCATTAATACAAGAACCTTTAAAATTGTTACCTTGAAAACCAAAAATCAGTGACATTTCTTATTTAAAAACTGTTCATTATACTTTATAAAAATAATGAAGAATCAAAGGCAAAAGTAAAATTCTGGATTTTACCTCACTGCCTTCAACAAGTTGCCTATGACTAGAATTTTGTTACAAAGACTTTCCTAATATCAAATCTCTGAGACCAATTCCCTAAACCATTCTAACATACTAAATTTTTAAGTACTAAGACTTCAGAGGATTCATTACAAAATGACCAACTAATATTTTAATACTATTTATGAACAAGTTTAAATGCATCTTAAAAAGCAATCAGAATACTACTCTAGGCCTTTAGGTAGGTCCAACTACTTTTCAACAGTTTGTTTAAAAAGTAGAAAGTTAAAAATCAGCAAATGGAAGATCAAAAGTTTATTTACTACCTGCATACAAAAACATATTGCACATCAAACAATCAAAACCAAAAAAAAAAAAAAAAAAAAAAGGAAAAAAAAAAAGAAAAAAGGGAGAAAAAAGAAAAGATACTCTACTGAAGACTAACATGTAGTTTATACAGAATAAACCTTCTGGAAATTGATCCTTTCAGTAGTTCAGGTTATGTCTGAATGGACATGACTAATTCAGTTTAGTGTTTTAACTAAAGCTATGTTTGATTTTTTAAATACTGTACACTTTAATAAATAAACCAAACAAAGCCTCAATGTAGAACAGTCACTGCCAATAACACCCAGTGTCCCTGCAGATGAGTGTTTAACAAATGTATTCCAGTGGTCTGCAGATTTTCCTCTACAATACAGCATTTTTAAAACACATTAAAACAGACCAGTTTCCAGACTAAAACTAATGAAGAAATTACAATTCAGTGCAAAATATCTTAGACTGCATTTCATTCTAGTTTTCCTCAGGTGAAGAAGTGGTTGCATATTATTAAAAATGTAACAAAAGCAGCTAATGCTTTCATAAAGAATATTAGGTTAGGGATCCCACCCCACCCACCTCCCCCCATCTCTGCCATATTTTGAAAACAAAATAACATTTCCTATAGCCAGCAACTTTTTTTAATGTTACATATACTATTCTCAAGGCACATCTGATGATATATAACACAGTAGGTGTCAAAGTATGTTTAACATATGATTTCTTCAGGATCCCTCCCCTTTCTGAATTCCAAATGGAGGAACTGAAAGTGCGATGGAAAGACTGGCGATCCATATTCTATCTTTGGCAAGCTTGTACAAGCACTATTGTAAAATGTAATGTAAAAGAACTGTAAACTAGGAACTTCTTCAGTTTATGAAACACCATTCAGGACTGCTGCATCTTGAGTATTTTCTTCTTTTAAGGTATTAATCTTTTCTTCTCCTGGAGTACGCTGTTGCTTAGAAATTTCATCGCCAGAAGCACTAGTTGGGCCATTTATTGCCTTTTCTGAAGGACCATGCTCTTCAATCACATCTTTTGCCTGCCAAAGGGAGACAACTTTTTCAACTTCTTTATAAATAAAATCTATAACTGAGGAGGAAAATAACTACATAAACATTAATTAGCTAATAAATAATTTTAGTTTCACATACCACAATGATCTGAATTAAAACATTCTTAAAATTAAAAAAGGAAAAAAAAGCAAAAACAAAACCCCCAATGTATTCCACCTCTCTGGGTCTTTCAACTCTTTATCTCTAGTAGCTAGCAATACATAAGCCACAGGAAGAATCTGTACCTGTTTATTGAAAACTTGCACCTAATTTCATTTTAACCACTGAAAAACTCACCATATAAAAAGACATAAACAGTTAATACCCTGAGTAAGGCAAACCACCACCTATTTACTCACCTTTTTTGCAAACTCAAATTTACATATCAAATCCCTTAAAATATTTCAAAAAATTGAAACAAAGGTCTTTATCCACCACTAAGAAGAGGGTCTATTCAGCCTATTGCTCCCCAAATTAAGGTTAACAGTCTTTATGCCCAGTATCTTTTACAATGCTATTTCTAATTCTAATTGAAAAGTATTTCAGGCTCAAGCATGCATACCTTCAGTTACCTGGGGCCAAAAACAAAATCAAGAGTAGTCTTTAACTAAAATATTACTGGTCTAGTTGGGGAAACAAGTGATCATACAAGTTAAGAAGTAAAAATAAAACTAAACCATAACAAAAACAAAACCAAAAAAGCCAAAACCTACAGGTTAAATTCTCCTTACCATTTCTTTCTTGTTTTTAGCCAAAGTTTCCCTTGGGAGGTTTCTTTGTCTGCTCTGAGACTCAGCTCTAGAAATATAATCTGCAACTGTGACTGTTGAAGATGAGAAAAAAATTACAGGTGTTGAAAAAATATTTCTAAAGTTTATTTATGGATAAAGAGTAATTTTACTTTTAAAATAGACTAATGGTGGGTTACCCAATTTCAAAATTTTCTTAAGATGGGTACCACCTCCAACCAAAAATGAAGTTTGAAAAATATGCCTGTGGTTTGGTGCTGACTGTAGAATATTTCAAGCTGGACACAGAGGACGCCTAGATTAAAGTCCTCTTTCACAAGAATGCAGCCATTTGCTTCTGGTTAGTCTACAGCTGTGGGATAAGTTTGATATAAAAACCCACAACTAAGAATAGGAAATGCCACATTCTAAGCCCAGATAGTGTTTGCACTTATCAGTTGGGGGGGTGGGGGGTGGGGGGGCGGGGGATGGGTAAATTGGGTGCAGATCATGGTGTAGCACACATCAATATGAAATTTTCATCAAACATATAAAAACTTTATTACTCAGGTATTATTTAATAGTTCTGTTTTTGTTTTTAAGCACAGTAAGATTTCCAAGTGTGTTTTATGGTTCCTTTTTAATATTTCACACTAGAAACTGTTCTGAGTAATATGAAAAAATTCAAGCAAACTAAAGATTTGTCCACCATCTTAAAATGTGGACAATGATCATGGTGGAAAATGTCCACCATTAATTCAGTAACTATCCCCTTTTCATGTTTTGCCAATCTCTCAAGGGACTGACCTATTTGCAATGGTGGTGGGGATTGGGGAAAAGAAGGGAAAAGACTAACCAAAACTAACACCCTGCCAGCAACCCAATGGCAACAAACTAACTCTGGTCTGCTGGGACTGGCCTCATTGTAAACCTCAGAGCTCTCTCTTCAAGGACTTGCAACTTAGAATTCACTGATTTGAAGAAATATCAAAATAATAAGTCTCTTCCTTTCAAAGAATTTATTTTCTCTCAGAAACTGATGAAGAAAAATCCCTGATTATGTAAAATATGGTATAAATTATGGGAGCAAGTAAATTATGTAACAATTAAAACTTCGATAAACTTAATATAGGTCACTAAATACGTGGGAGAACTAATCCATCAGGTTCAAATTACATAAAATCATTTTAATATAAGACTGGACTGTATTTACAGTTCATTTCTCTTAATTGTGAATTAAAATGCTAACATCTTTATAAGATTCAATAATTTATAGACTCATTATATGAATCTTTTTAAATCTCAAGGAAACAACTTAATTCACAACTAATAAACATCTTTAGAAACACCACTAAAAGATGTTTCATGTCTTAGACCATTTCCCTCTATAAGAAACTCAATATGCTCATTTTGGAGCTTTAAAAATCATTTAAAATCACTGTAAATGAATCTATAAATAAATTGAATAGTTTCCAAAACTGGGGAGAGGGATCAAACCCACTTCTTTATTATGTCTACATATATGGAACCACAAGCATCCTATCAAGTATTGTAGTTTAGAGAGCACCATGATGAATTCATTCTGTTTCCATGGTTCAGCCTTCAGTTACACCAGGAAGAACTCAGCTACCTGGAAACCTTGATGCACAGGCACACATACTACTAAATCTGAACTTAAGGGTAATTATTAGAACCATTCGCCCACTATGCAGACATAGAACTTCGATACAGTTTATCAATTAACAGGCACGTAGCTGGAAAGGTAAAAACCAGTGCCCATCCTCCACCAAACAGAGGTAAAATTAAAAATAAAATCAGTTGATCCAGAGAAAAACCTGTCTATAGCCAGATAATAGTCTGTTTTTAGTCCTCATAATGCAAACCACTTAAAAGTTCAAAACAGATAAGCACTTATAATATCTAGGAAAAAAACTGAGGCAATTTGTGTGGCGTAATTTGGACTCCAGAATTTCCTCTAAGGGATCCAAAATTAATTAATTGTACACCAGTACACTGCTGCACTTTGCTAAGTATAGTAAATACTCACTGCTTAAATAATACTAAAGGCAACAAGAAATATTAAGCAAATATGAACAAATAACTGTTTATTTCAGAGAATGTTGACATTAACTTTTAGATAGACGCTTCCTTCCTAGACCTGCTGCCAGAGCCAAAGGAGAAAATGATGTGATTGTTTCACCTATCCTATCCTATCTTCTGGGTGGGTGGGTGGGTGTGTGTGTGTGTGTGTTGGGGGCAGGCTGAGAAAGGCTATGAGTTCTGTGTGTGTGTGTGTGTGTGTTGGGGGCAGGCTGAGAAAGGCTATGAGTTCTGTGTGTGTGTGTGTGTGTGTGTGTGTGTGTTGGGGGCAGGCTGAGAAAGGCTATGAGGTGTGTGTGTGTGTGTGTGTGTGTTTTGGGGGCAGGCTGAGAAAGGCTGTGAGTTCTGTGTGTGTGTGTGTGTGTGTGTGTGTGTTAGGGGCAGGCTGAGAAATGCTATGAGTTGTGTGTGTGTGTGTGTGTGTTGGGGGCAGGCTGAGAAAGGCTATGAGTTGTGTGTGTGTGTGTGTGTTTTGGGGGCAGGCTGAGAAAGGCTATGAGTTGTGTGTGTGTGTGTGTGTGTGTGTTGGGGGCAGGCTGAGAAAGGCTATGAGTTCTAAAGAGGAAATCAGTACTTCCAAAGAGAGTAAAAACAGGAATAAATGCAGTGGAGAACACAAATCATTGTCAAATTATTTAGAACTCCAATTACTCAAGTTTTGATTAATACCATGCAGAAATCTCTTCCTCTTCTTTATCAAAGCCTTTTATGTTATTCCCTTTATGTCCTTTGACTTAGTAATGAACCACCATCCACCTAGTTACTAAATTATGTTTTAATTTATCCTATCTCAAGCCCATACTAGTAACTTAAATTTCCTTATTTATAAAGTATGGCCAGAAACTGGTATTCACTGCTATGCCAGCTTCAAAAACACAAACTAAATATAATCTCTTCATCCCAAAGATATTTCTAACACTAAAGAGAGAGAAAAGAAGATAAAAAAATAAGAAACATTTCCTTAAAACCTATTGTGACAGTATTTAATTTCTTTTAAAGTTACAACTAAATTTAAACAGGAACTCTTTTTTTCCCCTAAGAATGGGAATTAATCCCCTTAATCAGTTTTCTCACATGTCTCAACAACCACTAAATTTAAAATACTAAGTAAAGATACTAGAATTTATATGCTTTATTTGGGGAAAAACACAAGAATTTGCTTTGGAAAGAATGCAAAATTGATTAGTTTAACAAAAGGGATTTATTTCTGGTGCACACAATTTCTCCACTGTGAATATACATGTGATTCTCTGTACACAAGAAATGGAATTATGTTCAAGATAGTATAGACACAGCAAACAAGTTTCTTTTAAGTTACTAAAAATTTTATCTACTTAAATTAACATTCTAAAACTAAGTAAGTACTATTAATTTGAATAGTTAGTAAGTGTAAGGGAAAAGGCATCACACTACAATGAACAAAAACATAACATGCATTCCTCTTATTAGGAAAAAGACACTTTCAAGTATTTTTCTCATTTATATTTTTTAAACTGTGGGTAGTAGAACCCCCACAAAAATGAGGTGCTGAATCCAGATATAGTAGCAGGCACCATGCAAAAGCTGTCCAGTTTTGCCAATCATCCAAAATCACAAGCTACAACACAGTCCCTGGGATAGCAGGTCCCAACTCAAGTGTGCAGTATCTGCCAAGTGGACAAAATAATGGTCTTTTCAACAGTATTTTCATGTAAAAAAATTGAGACACAACATTAGTTCAATTAGACAGGTTACATTACGGTGTGAAGGAAGAATGCATTTTCTTAATAGTAGTCTTATTAGTTGAGAAAACAATTTATGCAATGCACATCTTGAATGTATATACACACATGTGTACATGTAAGTATAATATATTTAGAAAGCAGACACATGACATTTTTTTTTCATGCGTATGACCTGGTGTTGTCAACAGGTCCACTCAAGTTACCTGGCTGTCTATCTTCTGCCTGACCCCTGAAACGACGCCTGCGGCTACGATTGCGTCGCTGGGGTTTTTTTTCACTATCATCTGTAATTGCAAAGTTCACCATGAAACTATTCTGACAAAAACAATGCAAAAAACAAAGCAAAAAGAAAAAAAAACTTCTTGCCTTCAAAGATTTAAGGGGAAAGAACCTTTTAATTAGACAGGAAAGATAAAACAATACATGCTATTCACAGGAAAAATACTTTTGTAGTTTTAAACATTCCTACTAGATTAACAGATGGAATTATCATCCAGAAATTAAGAGGGTTTTTAACTCTTGATTAAACAAACTCTAAGACTTAATTTATCATTCAGGAATAAAATTTTCCTCTCCAACAGAGTTTAGTTTTTACCAAAGTTAATGACATTTTAGTGCTTTGGAAATCAATGCCTGCAAAGTATACACACTTCATTAGTGTCATTTATAATAATACTTAAAGAGGCAAGATGAAAGCCCAATTTTGGCTTAGAAGATTGAGAGTATTAAGTGCCCCGCAGTTTGAATATCTGTATTGTTTTAATGGCATTAAAGGGCACTTTAATAAACCCTCCCAGTTTCAAACAGTCTGGCTATACAAATCTGAAAGCTATAGACATTTAAGACAGACACAAAGCCATCTACCTACTTGAACACTAGGAAAAATTCAATTTGTGAATTGCATATGTTTGATTTTTTTTAAAGGCATCATATATTAACAATAGTATACAGTAATATATATCTTTTCCCTAAATGCTTACATACCTAGCCCATTTTCATTAACTGAAGCTGTATCGGATTCAGTCATCCCATCCATCAGAACAGCATCTTCATCAGTCCTTCGTCTACGAGACCGCCTACGACGGTTAGTACTGTGATGAGATTCGCTGGCATCAGTGTCTGCAGTCTGATCTGATTCTGTATTATCAAGTAAGCTGTATGGATTGCTGTCTGGATCTTTGAGCACTAAATGCATGTCAGAGGCAAGAAATATTTGTTTAAGAGAGCTGCAGTTATTAGAAATGTTTTGACCTATATTGAACTATATCAAATAATAATAAACTTCAATTTTCCCCCAATAAAAATACATCCTCTGTCTTCAGACAAAATGTTTTCTGTATCACTATTTTACCTGAAAAATAATATGGAAAAACTTTAAATGATGATGAAAAATTAAAACAAGATGAGTGAACACCTTGGCTTTCTACCATTTCTCTTGGACTTGTCTTAAAAACATTAGGAACTAGTATACTATTACATATTACTTTTTACATTCACATTCCTAGCTAATTCTGTACAGAAGCTAAAGAAATAAAAGTGAAAACAAATATTCAGCTAATATACTTTCAAATAATACTCAACACCTGCACTCTATGACAGAACAGAAATCTATTATTACAAACTGAAGCAAGCAAAAGAAGTCTACACAAAAAAAGGCAAACTAAAAAGTTTGAAATTCTAACTAGTTATAGGAAAATGTGGGAATGAATGCTGACTAGTACTCCCATCTCCAGAAAGAAAGAGTATAGGTGGGATATGGTAGGGTAAGAGTGGGAAAGGAAAGGTTTGTAAGACATAATTTATAGGGGAAAAAAAATACCCATCTTACCTATGTGCATTATTGCTTCCAGCAATCAAATTATAGAAGAAATTCACCTAATCACGATTTTTCCTAAGTTTCCTTTGGTAACAGCTAGCAAGCTAGCATCTTTGCAAAAGACACTAAGTTTATCCATTAATCATAAACACTAGGTAAAGTACATTTACTTTGAAATTCATCAAATTGTAATGTTAAACCTTGGTAACAGTGAGCAATGTTCTAAAGTATAAAAACTATTTCCCTCAAAGTCTATAAAATGAACTTAGAACTTGAAGATTATCACTAGAACTAGAGAGTACTTTTTTAAAGGTTCTTTGAAAAATGTGATTTGATTCACTTTTTAAAAAAAATTAAGAGTGGTTTTCCTACAAATGCCATACAATAATTGTTATGGTTATATCCCTGATATAATCTAATCCCTGACAATCTTTCCCCAGCCCATTATGCTAAGCAAGAACATTCTGTCAACTCCTACACCACCACTTAAGTTAAGAGCATTTAAATTTTCAAAAAGACAATGAGTAAAAGGTTTCTTATATCTCAAATCTCAGTCTTCTAGACACTCCTCTTTACAGGTGAATTCCTCAAACAATAAAAGATTTTTAAAGAAGGTGATTTCACAGTTTTTCCCTGTTCCAAAGTGGTGGAGTAGCAATAAATGCTTTTCAGTTGTATACAAAGGTATTTAGATCTCTCTATGGAGAAGACAATGGCACCCCACTCCAGTACTCTTGCCTGGTAAATCCCGTGGATGGAGGAGCCTGGTAGGCTGCAGTCCATGGGTTCACTAAGAGTCGGACACGACTAAGCGACTTCACTTTCACTCATTGGAGAAGGAAATGGCAACCCACTCCAGTGTTCTTGTCTGGAGAATCCCAGAGACGGGGGAGCCTGGTGGGCTGGTGTCTATGGGGTCGCACAGAGTCGGACACGACTGAAGTGACTTAGCAGCAGATCTCTCTATACATTAGAATTATCTGGGTCTCTCTGGCAAACAGAAATATATAACCCAAGAAATTCTAGAGGGGAAAAAAAATTCTAACTACCTAAGCGTCCAAAGTCTAAATATCTGACCAATGAAGCAGAGAAGTCAGCTCCAACTAAAATTACTCTGACCCGAATATTCTGGCTAAACTTTCACTGAGAGACACTCTATAGTGCTTTTCCTTATGATGTTGTGTGTGTGTGTGCACGCATATATATATATGTATATATTCTACTGTTTTCCTGAGACAGTTAAGCAAAAAGAGAAACTTCCAAAAACGGGGAGCAGGGGTCCTGGGAAATGGATTAACTGTTATGAAATTATACTGTTTACAAAGAAAAGATTCTGACAGAGTATATAAAAGACTACCAGAACTGATGGAAGATTTGCCACCACGTGGTCCACCACGACCTCGACCCCCTGAAACACTTCTGCCTCTTCCTCCTGGGCGTCTCCTGCTGTCACGCTGATGGCGACTCTCTCGGTCATCTTCTCCCGCCAGTGACCAATCACTCAGCTCATCTTTACGCTCAGATTCAGTTTCAGATGGGTTAGACAGCTCAGAGTTTGTACCTTGGGAAAGAAGAGAACATAAGCCTACTATATTTCTATTTTAAGAAAGGAATGAAATTTTTCAAAGAATTTCTTGCAAATCATTGTTTAAATAACATTAATATATGAAAATGCATTTAATATGGAAAATATTTTTTAAAAATTTTGCCCACTTTTATGTCTTTAACAAATTGCTAGTATAATAAAAAAATAACCACTATCCAAGTATTTAAAAGCCAATTTAATGATATTTATAAAAATGAGTAACAACTGTATAGTGTATTCTATTATATCACTTGATTTTAAAGAGCACTTTTTCCCCCCCACATTTAACATCTCTGAAATCAGGCTATTTCTTACAATTGATTGTCTCGTAAACTGGGAGTGCAGTTTTAGTGGCTGTACGTAAAATTTATCTTTTGCACAATAGTGCCTTAAGTTAGAACAATACAATGTTTCAAATCTCTGAAGAAATTTTAGGTTGCTCTGGAAAAGGGTAACTTCAACCTGACAATAAGAGATGAAGCCATTACCAGTGAGACAAAAATTCAGCATAATTTTGAAAGTTAACTACAGACTATTTCAAACATCCCAATGACTGAATTTAATACTTTTTAAAAATGCAAACACCACAAAGATTCTATAAAAGCCTATATCATATCATATCATATCACTATTTATGTGTCAGATTTATATGATCCAATCACTAACATACTCATTCCCACTTCTCTGTTAGTTCTGGGATGGCACTTTTTCATCCTTTCATCATAGAGCTATCCTATGCTTTTCAAAAGTTCATTTTACACAACTTAGCTTTTACAAAAGACTTACACTAGTATCTGTTTTCACAAACCAAAAGAAATCTAAAGAGGATTTTCACTAAAGTGGGCACGAAGAGAAAATAGCCTTCAGTATTCGCTTTGCAGCAAACCGCTGCAATTAAGACAGGCAGAAGCACAGCAAGCAGGGAGAGCAGCACCCCCAGCTCCCGCCTCAGGAACTAAACTCAGCATCTCAGCATCAAGCCAACAGATCTTTGAACCGTACTGGTGAGCATCTGCGCTTTATTTCCTGCATCTATTAGCAAGATGTGTCCTAAAGTAATTGCTTCTTCACTTTATGCCATTTCAGCTTACAAAAGGTTTCCCAGGAAAACTACTTTCTGATAATGTGGGAAACTATATGTGCAAATCTATCTCCTTAAAATTAAAAGCCCAGTTCAATGTCTGTAGCTTCAGACCAATTTAACCGAAAACAGACATCTCCTCTCATTTCCTTAAAATTAATGTAAAATTAATAAAGTACTGCCATGTGTTGTTTTCTTTTTACAATGTGGCTTTACTTCCATATTGGTTTACAGTAAAGGTGAGCTCTCTTGTACCTGTAAGTGCCCACAGAAGCCTAGCAATGCACATAACAATTTTCTCCTGATAAATTAATTTACCATAATTATGAAGTTCCTATGCTAAACTCGCAAATAAGAATGATTTCAAGATAAACTAAAAATACCCCATATTAACTCCATAGTCATTTAATGATAAAAGCAAAATACAAGAGCTCTTCAAGGAATAAAGCATAAAGTTGAACAAAGCCTACCAACTTCCTTTCTCCTTTAAAGAGGACTCTTCTGTCTTTTTTCTCCATATACCATATAGATGTAGCTAGTAATGAATCGATTAAGAAAAATGTAGCAAGTTTCTAGTACTGACATTTGCATCTTTGTTAAGATGAGTCTCATACTAGAAAATGAATCAAAACACTTATTTTTTCCAAAGGATAAGAAAGAATTTGTTAACTGATGCCATGGTTTGGTGGAATAAGGGTAATGTATCATTTCATGAGTAGTTTAAAACAAAACAAACAATAAAGTCTTGGGAATTATAAAAACTTTTGTTGAATTTATTTACAAACCTACATACCCTGCCTGAAAACATTACCAAATTTTGAGGTTAGATGAGTATCTCGTTTTAAAAGGTTTTAACAAAAGATCCTATCAAATTATCTTTAAAAATACAGTGTAGTATTTAACTCAATATCATGAACAAAAAAATTTTCATAGTTTTAATTTAAATCTAGCATTCAAGATACTTATAGAAGGTATCTAAAATCATAGACTTCAGGAGATAAAGACAACTATTAATGTCAAAAACAAAAAAAGGGCTAATGAACTGGTAAATTCTCCATTTTCTTCATATTAAACATTTCTGAGATGGCAAAAGGAACTTTGCAAACAAAATTAAGGTTAAGGAAATAGGTTTGGGAATTATTCTAGACTATTCAGGTGAAGCCAATTTAGTCACATGAATATTTAAAAAATAGAGGACCATTCTCAACTATGGAGAACCAGAGAGGTGGCTGAATAAGGACTCTCTATAACCTGTTGTAGAGTCGTTAAGTCAAGTCCGGTTCTTTTGTGACCCCATGGACTGTAGCCCACCAGGCTCCTCTGTCCTTGGGATTTCCTAGGCAAGAACACTGGAGTGGGTCGCAATTTCCTTCTCCGGGGGATCTTCCTCACCGAGGGATTGAACCCATGTCTCCTGCACTGGCAGGAGAATTCTTCACCACTGAGCCACCAGGAAATCCCATCTACCTGTAATTACTGGCTTTTTAAGATGGAGGAAGGAGGACCTAAGCAGAGGAATAGAGGTTGTCTCTAGAAGCTGGAAGTATCAAGGAAACAGATTTTTTCCTAGAGTCTACCAAAGGGAATACAGACATGCCAACACTTAGATTTCAACCCAGTGACATTAACGTCAGATTTCTGACCTACAGAACTGTGCAATAGTACTGGTTAAAGGCTTTGAATTTTTAATTTGCTGTATAATCAACAGAAAACTAATACTCTGCTGAAGTCATCACAATCATTCCAATCTCAATTTTGTAAAATATTAGTTCATAAATCCAGAAATTAGGGAGGGGGCTACAAGAAATAATGAACCATAAAACCAATCCCATTTGTAATGGCTCCAACAAATAAAAATTGTTTCTACAGAATTTTAAATCAGATTTCCCTAAAACTTCTAAAATCACCTTATGAAGATGGTTCACATTCTTTTAAATGAACATGTATGCTGAACTTAACATTAATAGCTAAAGTACCACATTTCATCAAATCCGCTATGCCATCCATTGTAGTCACAATATTTTTTGTGCCACTTAAGAAAATCCTGCCAATTACAGTTCTAAGACAACATCCATTGTAAAACACATTATATGTTCAGAGATGTTAAATTCAGAAAATGTTCCTTATATAGATTATATATATATTCCTCACCTAAAAAATCTTCTGCCATTAAGTAGACAAGAACATCTATAACCAAATTCAAATAATTTTTATTTCTCTGGAGCCCATTTAAGTTCAACAGCTATTTCAGAAAATACAATGTTATTAGTTTGAAAAGACTCAGAAGTAAGAGTGCCATCTACTGAACAATTTGCATAGTGTTCTTCAGTCCAAATGTTATTCCTCTACTTTCTCATTTAAATTTATTATCTACTGTCAACAAAAGCATTTTGCCGAAGAGGGACCTCTCATCAATAAGCTGACTTTCCAGAGGCTTATAAATTCTTGGATGAGTTCATCAACCAAAAAACCAAATCTGATTATTTGCACTAGTAATTTGTACCTCTAAAATCATTCAGTATGTACTTAATCTCTATTTAATTACTGTCTTTTGTATTAAATGTGTTTTCAGGACCGCAATTCTCAATCCTTCACATACCAAACACATTAACTGGAATTTTTCTTTTCAGGTTTCAGTACAGGGTTAACTTTAAAATAATGAAAAAGTAGGAAGGGGAAATTACCATTCAACTCTACAACAAATGAAATATAGTACCAAACTGACTCTGACATCATTAGATGATCCTTCAGACATGAAATATGGATGTGGAATCTGTACACTATAAGCTTTCATGTGTTTTTATTTTCCCTAAATGCCTTCTATTCTGGAAAAGGCTTATGAAATATTTTCCCAAAGCAGTTTGGATGAGCATAGGGGAGTAGAGAAGAGAGAAGAGGAGAGACAAGGGAACAGAAAAATCAGGTCACTGCTAAGATCCAAGTCCAAATGTAGAAAAATGGAATAACTCCAAAGCTGAAGAAGAAGTAAGAAATTTAGGATTAGAGAATTGTTGACCACCACCATCCACAGGCCCCTTCCTACATGGGTTAAGTCCCATCTTCAAAGTGAAATGTATTTTAGAAAAATGTTCATTTATGTTAATTAAGTTCTAACTTTTAAAGCCCTCATATTATTGAAATCCTGTATTTCACAAAATAATTGCAGATGTGAGATATTACTATTCAAACTGCCAAGTGAACCAATACAGTGTATTTTAAAAACTAGTACAGATTTTCTACATGTAAATATAGCACAGTGACTAGTGTATTTTTTACTTTTTCCTAAAGGATAAACAAAAGGTAAATCCTAGTAGTATCACCACTATCACTAGGATTTTATTGGAAAATGTATATGATTGTACAAGGAAACTATCTGAGAAAACCAGTTGTATATATATTTAAGTATTTAGAATAAAAATGGTCATGAGCTATAAATTTAACAAAAAGGTGTTTCATTACACAGCTACTTGAACATTACAAATGTTGTACAGTCATTAATATAAAATACAGTCACTACTATTAAAACATGTACCTCAGAACTATCTCCTATCCTCAAAACCAAGATAAAGTGATGAACTGAACAATAACAACCAAAATGTATTGAAGCACCTAAACTACAACTAGTACCAAAAAGAAAAAAAATTTTTTTACCATAACCGGAGGTGTAATTAGGGCCCCGACGACCTCTGCCTCTTCCACTATAAGACCTAGAACCTTGTACAGAAGAGACGGTACTTTCATCAGTGGCATATCCTTTCTCTTTTTCAGGCCCTCTGGTGGAAGAAGGTCTGAAACCCATACCAATCTGTCGAAGCTGTTCATCAATCTGTAGTCGTTCCATTCTTAGCTGTTCTACTTCCTATAATGAAAATGAAAAAGGATAAATCTTATATGTATTTCTTTGTCTTCTTAAAGCCTAGAGTTGAGCTATACTCTGGTCCTACCACTGAAAGCAGCTGTGATCTTGGGCAGTTATTTGGCAATGTAGACTGTATTCCTAGTGAACATAATTTACAAGGTCAATTCACCAAGCATTTACTAAATGCCTTAGCATCATGTGCCAACCATGCTAAGTGCTACAGGTATACAATATAGAAAAGACAAGGACTCTTCTCCTTCAGGGGGATGTTTACAGATGAGCATTAGAATAACCTAGGGGATGGTTAACAGACAACTGCTGAAATAACCTACTTTAATAGCTAATTATCAGACCTAGTCTTCAAGGAGTATCAAACTCTGCTAAATGAGGTAAAGTACCACCTATGACAGGTATTACTAATAAACTACTTTCCTATCAAAATAGTGACAACTGAGTTGTGGCCTAGCTGAACTGGTAGACTTGGTCATTCAGAGATTGAGGTCATTACAGGACGTGAAGGTAAGGTGTCTAGAGAAAGCTCTTGGCTAAAAAGCAGTAGAGTACTGGAAAGACAAGTTTTTCAAAGAAAGAAAGAAAGGGTGCTTTGAAAATATTAACAAAACAATGATCTCAGTGACTAAAAGGAAAACACAACTAGAGACAACAGTCTAAGCACCATAAACAACAAAAACACAGCAGGAATAAAGAGAATAGAAAATGACAATTCCAACTTATAATAATTTTAGGGTATTTCTTTTCCAAAACCTTTTCTCTTTATTAACCCAGATAGAGTAAAAAACAATGGTTAAGAGTTATCAAATGATATATATGGAGGTAGTTCACGTGATTCAGAGAGTACCAGTAACCATCACGTGCCAACTCTGCTAAGGGCTACAGGTACACAATATGAAAAAGACATTGGACTCATCTCCTTCAAGGGAATGTTTACAGATGAGCATTAGTAACCAAGAAAGCCCACATCATTCCCGTTTCTATCTCCTATCTGCAACAACGTTAAGAGTGGCCATGTCTTAAACAGAAGGAAAGAAATATAAACGTTCAGAGGAAAAGAGAAAAATGTACATGAGGCCAATCATTTTACTATGGCAAAGGACCTTTTAATATTTTCACACAGAAAGGGAAATATGAAACTGAATTAACAAAAATAAAGATTTAAAAATTTACTACAAATACTAATATAAAATTAAAATTTAATGTGTGGAGGAACACGATATAAATATGAACACTGTACAAACCTTTAGATAAGCAATATGATACTCTAAAAGCACTTGCACATTTCCAATGCTTTCTTTAGTGCCAACAAATACAAATGGAACCATTCCCTGTAAGAAAACACAACATCCTCAGTATTTAGTATTTATGTCCTCTAATTCAAAACCAACTTTCAAAGAAATTTTGCATCAAACTGGCATGAATTTACAAATCAGATGTATCTTTAGTAGTGCTTGCCTTAAAAACATAAAACACATTGGGCAGGTTCTCCCTGTAATGTATGCTCATATAGCAAAACTTTCAACATCTGTAGGTTGGAAGTACTTTGTGACCGTTAACAGAAGCATCATTTACAAACTTTCAATATTTACACAGTGTAAAATAAAGAAATTACTGATATGGACAAATAGTCACCTTAGTTATTAAACCAAATGAAAGGATTAACCCTGACCTGTTTTACTTAGTTGAATTTCAAAAGACAGTTTTAAACAGTGAGAAGGAAGGGAAGTAAGATACCTAAATGATGTTTGTTTTTTTTTCTTTAAAGAAATAAACTTCCAGCTTCCTACTGGCTTAAAGAAAATGAACAGTCTAAGGAAACTCACCCAATCACTTTCAATATCCTTCAATTTCTTGATTTTACACAATCATTCCTAACAGTTATTTAAATAACCTGGCTTAAGAACTTTGGGTTCTAAATACAGAATTAAGTGTGGCTCAACTTTTTATTCTATATAAGAAACCACTATGTGACTTATTTTCAAAATAATTTTTTTAATTTAATTAGTGAATTTTAGTACGGGAAATTAAAAAGAAGAAAGGCCCAAGCAGGTGCTAAAGCCACAGTACAGAGTACAGCTATCAAGGAGCTTAAAGCTGTAGTGACTCTAAAAGAAGTAATTACAACTAGGAAGGCATGAAACAAGGGACTCTAACTTACGCTTAGGAATTGAGAAAGCCTTGAGCTATCCTCAAGAATTCACATGCAAAAAACAGGATGCAAAGTGAACGAAAGATAGGAGGGGAAAAACAAGAGCTAGAAAGTTTTAATCTGTAATGTAATTCTGGGACTATATTATTTATGTTCATTTTTAAGAAATATCCCAATTCTACAGATGAGAAAAAAATGTGCTCCAAGTCATAAAATCAGCACCTAACCCAACCAATTTCGTATCCAGTTACCTAATTCCAAAAAATATACACTTGTTAACTGCCATAATCTATGTTAAAGAAAAAGGTAAAGGGAATCACAATCTCAGAAAAGATACTAAACATTCCTGTAATAATCTCACTGTAACGTATTTGTGGAGGTGATGGAATTCCAGCTGAGCTATTTCAAATCCTAAAAGATGCTGCTGTTAAATACGCGAACAAAATCTGGAAAACTCAGCAGTGGCCACAGGACTGGCAAATGTCAGTTCTCATTTCAATCCCAAAGAAAGGCAATGCCAAAGAATATTCAAACTACTGCACAACTGCACTCACTTCACACGAGGAAAGTAATGCTCAAAATTCTCCAAGCAAGGCTTAAACAGTACATGAACCAAGAACTACCAAATAGATGTTCAAGCCAGATTTAGAAAAGGCAGAAGAAACAGAGATCAAATTGCCAACATCTACTGGGTCAATGAAAAAGCAAGAGAATTCAAGAGGAACATCTACTTCAGCTTCATTGACAACTCTAAAGCCTTTGACTGTGTGGATCACAACAAAATGTGGAAAATTCTTCAAGAGATGGGAATACCAGGCCACCTGATCTGCCTCTTTGAGAAATTTGTATGCAGGTCAAAAAGCAACAGTTAAAACTAGACATGAACAATGGCCTGGTTCAAAACTGGTAAAGGAATATGTCAAGGCTGTATACTGTCACCCTGCTTATTTAACATATGCAGAATACACCATGTGAAATGCCGGACTAGAAGAAGTACAAGCTGGAATCAAGACTGCCAGGAGAAGTATCAATAACCTCATATATGCAGATAACACCACTCTTATGGCAGAAAGTGAAGCACCTCCTGATGAAAGTGAAAGAGGAGAGTGAAAAGGCTGGCTTAAAACTCAATATTCAAAAAACTAAGATCATGGCATCTGGTCCCATCACTTCATGGCAAATAGATGGGGAAACGATGGTAACAGTGAGAGACTTTATTTTCTTGTGCTCTAAAATCACTGTAGAGGGTGACTTCAGCCATGAAATTAAAAGATGCTTGCTCCTTGGAAGAAAAGCCATGACCCCAACCTAGTTCAGTTCAGTCGCTCAGTTGTGTCTCTTTGAAACCCCATGAACCGCAGCACTCAAGGCCTCCCTGTCCATCACCAACTCCCGGAGTTCACCCACACCCATGTCCATTGAGTCGGTGATGCCATCCAACCTTCTCATCCTCTGTCATCTCCTTCTCCTCCTGCCCTCAGTCTTTCCCAGCATCAGGGTCTTTTCAAATGAGTCAGCTCCTTGCATCAGGTGGCCAAAGTACTGGAGTTTCAGCTTCAGCATCAGTCCTTCCAATGAACACCCAAGATTGATCTCCTTTAGGATGGACTGGTTGGATCTCCTTGCAGTCCAAGGGACTCTCAAGAGTCTTCTCCAATACCACAATTCAAAAGCAGGAATTCTTCGGTGCTCATCTTTCTTTATAGTCCAACTCTCACATCCATACATGACCACTGGAAAAACCATAGCCTTGACTAGACGGACCTTTGTTGACAAAGTAATGTCTCTGCTTTTCAATATGCTGTCTAGGTTGGTTGTAACTTTCCTTCCAAGGAGTGTCTTTCAATTTCATGGCTGCAATCACCATTTGCAGTGATTTTGGAGCCCAGAAAAATAAAGTCAGCCACTGTTTCCCCATCTATTTCCCATGAAGTGACGGGACCAGATGCCATGATCTTAGTTTTCTGAATGTTGAGCTTTAAGCCAACTTTTTCACTCTCCTCTTTCACTTTCACCAAGAAGCTCTTTAGTTCTTCTTCACTTTCTGCCATAAGGGTGGTGTCATCTGCATATCTGAGGTTATTGATATTTCTCCCAGCAATCCTGATTCCAGCTTGTGCTTCCTCCAGCCCAGCGTGTCTCATGATGTGCTCTGCATACAAGTTAAATAAGCATGGTGACAATACACAGCCTTGATGTACTCCTTTTCCTATCTGGAACCAGTCTGTTGGTCCATGTCCAGTTCTAACTGTTGCTTCCTGACCCACATACAGGTTTCTCAAGAGGCAGGTCAGGTGGTCTGCTATGCCCACCTCTTCAGAATTTTCCACAGTTTATTGTGATCCACACAGTCAAAGGTTTTGTTATGGTCAATAAAGCAGAAATAGATGTTTTTCTGGAACTCTCTTGCTTTTTCGATGATCCAACAGATGTTGGCAATTTGATCTCTGGTTCCTCTGCCTTTTCTAGACCAACCTAAACAGCATATTAAAAAGCAGAGACATTACTTTGCCAACAAGTCTGTCTAGTCAAAGCTATGGTTTTTCCAGTGGTCATGTATGGATGTGAGAGTTGGACTAAGAAAGCTGAGCACCGAAGAACTGATGCTTTTGAACTGTGGTGTTGGAGAAGACTCCTGACAGTCCCTTAGACTGCAAGGAGATCCAACCAGTCCATCCTAAAGGAAATCAGTCCTGAATATTCATTGGAAGGACTGATGCTGAAGTTTAAACTCCAATACTTTGGCCACCTGATGTGAAGAACCGACTCATTGAAAAAGATGTTGATGCTGGGAAAGACTGAAGGCAGGAGAAGGGGAGGAACAGAGGATGAGAAGGTTGGATGGCATCACCGACTCAATGGACATGGGTCTGTGTGGACTCTGGAGTCGGCGATGGACAGGGAAGCCTGGCATGCTGCAGTCCATGGGGTCGCAAAGAGTCAGACACGACTAGTCGAACTGACCCCACATAAGCCCGTAAAACCTTCAGATTTGTTTTCACGTTCAATGCTTTGAAAACTAAAAAGTTTTATTTAGGCTTTTAGCTTTTCTTTAAATATTAAAAGATACAGCAAAACAGAATATACGCATACCTACACAGCAACCAGATTAAAACTGAGCAGCATTGGTTTCTTTTAGAGAAAGGCACAGTGTGCCCTCCCCTTCCTCTCTTTTGTATCCTAATCTGTTTGATAATTTACATAATCTACTTGGTATCTTTTAGCATTTAAATTTCTGGTACAGAAATTCTGGCACAGAAATGGGAGGTAAAAATGACCAAAACTACAAAGTAAAGTGTAATAATTAATTTATGAAGGACATCCTAAAAGAAACAGCCTGCAACAAGGTGGTAAATACTGGAAAGCAGCTAGGAATAAGTCAAGCTAAGGGAAGACTAGATATTAGTTATCAAGCTAAGATATTTACAATTGAGTCATTTAATGACCCTGTCCAGTAAACACCTTAATCTTCAGACCAATTCTAGCCAGCAGTTATAAGCCAAACTGCTATTGTTGCTTAGTTGTTAAGTCATGTCCAACTGTTCTGCAACCCCATGGGCTGTAGTCCACCAGGCTCTCTCCTCTGTCCGTAGGATTTCCAAGGCAAAACTACTGGAGTTGGTTGTCATTTCCTCCTCTGGGGCTCTTCCCAACCCAGGGATCAAACCTGCATATCCTGCACTGGCAGGCAGGTTCTTTACGACTGAATCACCAGGGAAGCCTGGTATGCCTAATGGGTCACCATTATTTTATACATTAAGTATATAAACAGAAATAGTGTCAATTATAATAGTATGACACCCTTGATTTTAATGGGGTCATCACCCACCCTCCAGGTGGAGTATGGTGTTTATTTAACATGAAGTTAAAATTACTTAAGGTTTACATCAATTTTTAAAGCTGTGTAGGATGTAATCAATCTCTAAGTATCCATTTGCCTAACAGTCATTTGTTTTTCCTCATTTGTTTTTATCACCACATCCTAACTAATTAAAAGAATCAAGGAAATGGTATCTTTCACTGGGGTCTTTACAATATCCAATATGTGGTGTGAGGCTGTTTATCTTAGAAAATATAAAATATCTTCAGTTTCCTCCATGTGTCTTTTTTTTAAAAAACAAAACTTACTTTGTCCAATAAGCAAACAAACTCCCCATTTACCCACTGTGCAAAACTGAAGAAGTTGTGAATGTACTGCTTTCTGGGATATAATTTTGGGAGTGGGGGAGGGGGAAGTCTTTGCCTTATATTCAGACATATATAACTATACAGAGTTGACCATCAGAGCCACAAAGGTTAGTGATGCTTAAAGTGGTGGATAAGAAGTTTAAAAAAAAAAGTACTGTGAACAAGACATTAACATGTAACAAAAAGACTGAAAAAAATTTTTCGGAAAGTTGGCATCAGCTGCTGCTGCTAAGCCACTTCAGTCGTGTCCGACTCTGTGACCGCATAGACAGCAGCCCACCCAGCTCCTCTGTCCCTGGGATTCTCCAGGCAAGAATACTGGAGTGGGTTGCCATTTCCTTCTCCAATGCACGCATGTATGCTAAGTCACTTCAGTTGTGTCTGACTCTGTGTGACCCTATGGACAGCAGCCCACCAGGCTTCTCTGTCCACCAGAGTCTCTAGGCAAGAATATCAGAGGGGGTTGCCATTTCCTACTCCAATGGCATCAGAATGACTAGCAATGTTAAAGCTTAAAGATTTCAATTAAGAAATGGTCAGAGCTTACAAAAAATAAAAGTCAAAGAAGTGTTATTAAGAATTCCTTCACAGCCAACTGTTTCGTTTAGAGTACAAAATTCTTTACACTCTAAGTACAAAAAAAAAAAAAAAAAGAACCGATAAGATTATCAAACTAATGTCTTTTTTTTAAATCAAAATTGGCCTTTTTACTGAAGCACTGAGAAACAGAACTTAAAAAAAATTCCACTGCAGAGTGAGAGTAGTTCACTGGATATAACTTTCTTAAAACAATTTTCAAAATATAAAAGACTGGGTGGTGGGGGGAGCATATGCAGACTATGTTTTAAATACTTACATCTTCTCTAGGTAGTTTATTTTCATTGTCTCCTTCAATTCTCACCCGAACCACACCAGATTTGTCCACTATTTCTTGAATAACTTTGCCATTTTTCCCAATTACTTTTCCTTTAATAAGAGAAAACATATATAATAATAAATTAAAAACCAACACTGCTATCATTTCAACATGAGCCCAAATAATTTATGACTTGCTATCAAATTATAAAAACCAAGCAAAACTACATCTTTTTACTCTCAATTAACTCACCCTAATGACAACTGAGAAACATATCCTTGGTATGAAACCTCCTCCTCTTCAGTATGGCTAACGTTGCTACTATTAACTGAGAATGATAACTCTACTCACATGTAAGATATTTTCAAAGTCCAACTATTTTTTAATATGTTCTATACCATTTTTATATTTTTAAAATATCAAGTCCAACCCATTTATTCCAAAAGCTTGAATTATATAAATGAAAGCAAAAAGAAAACTTTTATTTTGGTATTAATTACATCAACTTGTTTACATTTATGACACATTATATACTTATTATTATTCAAACAACTAACAATGTCATCAACCTGGCTTTTATTTTCAAGGTACTACTTTAAAAACAACTGTGACTTGAAGATTCTTTTAAAATGAATATTCTCTTCACTGAAATAAAATGTTCACATTTAACAAGTATTACATTTTACACCTATAAGTTTTTAAAGTGCTTTAGAACAATACAACTACATACAAAATGTATATGGGTTGCTGTCTTCCTAGATATGAAATATTGTGAAATGACACAGAATTCAAATTATTTACCTTCTCCACACTTAACTTGTTAAGTCTGTCAAATAACAGTTACTAAGGATCTGACAATTAGTGGAGAAACTAAAAGGAGGATATGAAGATGCTCTTCACTTAGGGAACTCACTTTTTATATAGCTAATATACACCCATAAAATAACAAAGCAATAGTGGGTAGTGACCTGGTAAAAGAAGTACATGTTCTGCTAACCATTACTATAAATAGATGTATACTAAGTTAACAGTAACATCTTACTTGTTATTAAGTTCAAATCCTCAGTTAAAATGTTACACTGTATCAGCACAATGTTTCCACAATAAATTAATTTTGGCTAAAATAGGTTATAATGTAGGTTTCAGCTACTGCATGCTTGATAGAACAGCTTTCAATAAAGAATAAATAAGGGGGAAGGGGGACAAACAAAGGAATAATGGCAACAGTAAGCCAGTCAGTACAACAGACACTATTATAGGATTTTCAAACCTCCTTGCCCAATAACCCTAAATTTAAAGGTAGCAGCAACCGAACAAGAGAAAAAACAAAATAGAGTTAAGACAGGGAATTCACATGATGCATGTCTTCTCAGAGCAGCCCTAGCAGCAGCATATAAAAGCAACCTTCAAGTTAACACAGTGAAGCTCAAGCAGCAACTCCATCCTTGACCCTGCTAAAAATAAGCAAATATCTTTTCGAAAAAACAAAAATCAGATTGTTACATCATACCCCCTCCCCAAAAGCTCTGCCCCTTACTTCTTGTGAACTATACCAGTGGTGAGTGAATATCCATCACCCTTCTGGGGTCTGTGGCAAGGACCTACCTGCAAGTTTTATTTAGTCCCACCAGAGACTGTCAATATTTAACTGATCATTTCCACAGTTTAAATTCCAAAGCATATTGACAAACTGAAGCAGACCTGTGGTATAATTTGAGCACTGAGCATAAATGCTGAAGGGACAGAGTAGAGAAGTGATTAAGGAACGCTTCCAGGAGGTGAAGTTTCAATTCATTTTCAAATCAATGTTCACATAATATTTTTGATTTGGGAGGGGTGGGAATGGTCAACAAGTCTAGAACTCTTGGAACCTGAATATATGTGAGAATTCTCTCTGAAACTTACCCACCAAGTAGTCCTCATTTCCTTTTACTTCTCAGTCCTCTTTTTCTCTTTCCCTTTGACTAAGAATGTACTATTTTTCAAGACTGCTTCACCCAGAAAACATTTTAGAGAAAGATGCAGTACTACTATAAACAGACAGCACTCAACTCAGGTTTTTATACTACTTCTGAGTATTTAACCAATGTATAATAGTTGCTGCTAGTATTTATTTTCTAAATAGTAAACAAATAACCCAAATAAACAAAGCCAACCAAGCCAGGGTAGAGGAAAACAAGAGACATGTTAGGTTCTCATATCACTGAACAGATAAACAAAAAGAAGAATCTGAGAACTATAAATATATCCAATTTCCTATTTTTCAAATATGAGAAATTTTTATTTAAAATTAACACTACCAAAAATTCTGTAAGACCAATGCTATCTTCTACAGAACTGTTGGATTGGAAAGAACCCTTGGATACACTCACCTCCAAATCATTTTTACAAGTGAAGAAATCTAAGTTAAATTACATTCTGTGAAAGTAGCAACCAAAATGTTAGTACTGATAGCTGTCAATAATGGGAGCATTATATAAACAATAAAGGGAATCATTTTCAAAAGCATCATTCTTGCCAAAGGTCATGTCCCCTCTTGACAGCAATGAATATTTGGTAACATTTTGTATCTTACCATTTATTTAAATTATATAAAATTCATAAGACACATATTTAATTTTAACCTCTCATCATCTCCAGCCACTCAGTACACAGTGATTGCTAACTGCTAACAACAGATTAAGTGGAGCTAAACTAACTGGTAGTATATCATAGACATCCAAATGTTTAGGCAGAAGTGAAAAGCTTTTTCTATAGTTGAATACCAACAGACTGTCCAAATTCTTATAGTGTACACTATTGTACCAAATACACTACTTGTTATTGGCCAAAACAAACATTTTTAATAGCACAAATGTGCTGTTGTTTTTTAATTTTCACCTATTAATGTTTCAGACTCTGACAAGTAAAATGTGTACAGAATCTTTTCCTAAAGGTAGAAAAGCTGTGAGTGAAGTGAACTTGCTCAGTTGTGTCCAACTCTTTGTGATCCCATGGACTGTAGCCTACCAGGCTCCTCTGTCTATGGGACTCTCCAGGCAAGAATACTGGAGTGGGTTGCCATTTCCTTCTCCAGGGGATCTTCCCGACCCAGGGATCAAACCCAGGTCTCCCGCATTGCCGGCAGATGCTTTACCATCTGCGCCACCAGGGAAGCCCTTACTTATATATAAATAGAGCCCAAGGGGCTCAATTTCATTATGGTCAAAAAACTAACAAGACTCAACAGATAACCAAAAAAAGTCATAAAAAATCATTTCCCTAGGAAATTTCACTACTTTATGTTGATGCTTACATTAAACATTTAAGATAATCACTAAGCATAATTTAACAAGTGACCAAGATTTCTCTCCTATGTTTCAGACTGCATCTTAAAGGATAGATCACACAGATACAGAGAATATTATTAACAAAGCTATTAAACAACTGATCTCTCAAGTTATAATGCTCATTAACTGCAGCTTCAAAAGCAAAACCTGTTGTCACTTAACTTACAACCCACGGGCACAGCAATCTTCATCAAAAGTGTCAAAAACTTAACAGTGAAACTTCCCCTAATATCATCACCATCCTTCTCTTCTGCCCATGACTTATGACTTCTTATCCTTATTCGAGGTTTTTGCAACAACTATCACTTTCTCAAAGCCTACTGTGTAGAAGTTTATTACCCTATTGCTAGTCCACTCAAACTTTTTCTTCTGCACCAAACAAAACAATTACCACAAATACCTTCTCAAAAAAGTACTACAATTTGGATGGATATATGAAAGATAAAAAGACATCAAGCAAATGAAAATATTAAGAAAGAAGCCAAGGGATGAAAAAGCTTAAGAAAAACTGTAATGCCAAACTGTTATTTTTTTAAAAATTCCACATTACCTAGAAGGTAAAAGTTATCAGAAAAGGCTAATTTTCAATTGTCATCATATGTAATTAAATAATATTTAACTTAACATTTAGTAGAAGTACTTACCAACAAGATTCCTAGGAACCTGAATAAAATCCTCCACAAATTCCAAGAAACCTCTAGCCTTTTTTACAGCATCAGCACTCTGCGGGGTAGGGTGGGGGAACAAACATGAAATTCAATCTTGAAGAAACCCACAATCCACAACAAAAACACAAGAAGGAAAAAAGAAACTGAATTGTCATGCTCCAGTACAAGATTCTGCTCAGATGACCAAAGTGCTATTTCAAGTCAAGTATTCATAAAGTACTTTTCCAAAAAGAAGAGTAATCATTAAAGAGCTAGGGGAAAAAGGCTTTTACAATCAAAATGTTAGACATCTCTAAGGTCCCTAAGACATCTAAAACTGTCTAAACAGACATCTTTAAGCTCCTGTGAAAACTATGAGTTTAACTTACTTATGTTAGCGAAATTTTAACCCCATCCTAAATACATCTGACCCACACTTCTATGTTGGATTCTCCAGGTGAATTAAAAAAAAAAAAAAAGACATACTGTATGTGTTGTCTGCATTGTTTTCTCCTTCTCAACGTAAGAAACGATTTAAAAGGCTGTTTTTGTACAGATGCATTTAAAAAATTACCTACTAATATGACCATTAAAATCCCTAAGCTCTAACAGTTAAAATTTTAAAAAACTAGAAGATGGGGGGAGGCTCAGGTTGTCTTCTCTAAAAGGAATTTAGAGTTCTCAGTAACAATTAACTTCCATTTTTAATGTTTGTCCTTTAATAACCATAAATCAAGTATATTGTGTGCTCACTATATCATACACAGCAAAAATTTAAAATCCATATTCAATCTTCATAAACTGTTATGGTAAGCACTATTATTTTCATTTTACAATGTGGAAAACTATGCAGGGGAACTGCGTAACTTTCTCCAAGTCTTCTCAAAGTGGTAGAGACAAAATTCTAATTTAGGTAATATGACTCTAAAGCCTTTCATCTTAACCACTTTGGTATACTGCCTACTTCTAAAGGTTTCAGAAGTAAAAATCAGACCTCCAGTCAGATTTACTATATGACTTAAATGAAAAGTTGAGACTTAAAATCATCACACCCAAAAACTCATCTATTTACTATAATGTGAAGGATAGTCTTAATGAAGACCTGTTTTATTTTTCAGATTATCTTCCTGCCCACACAGATGTCACAATTAACCAGTGACAAAATATTTAAAATTCAAGGTCTACAAAAGGTATTATATACTATTTACAGCTGCCAGTGCCTGACATAATAAGCACTCAAAAAATACTTGAATAAATTATTTGTAATGCACATAAAGCTGAGAAATTCAGAAGCAGCTGATTAAGGAACTTTTGAAAACAGTACACATTAAATATCCAGTAATCCTTCAAGGCCCCATAATTACATATATTAGCATATTATAATAAATTTTATATACTAATATAGTATCTTTAATCAACCTACATGTAATGATACTAGACTTGCAATTTTAAACCATTCCATCCAGAAACTAAAATTCCACAGAACAGTTAATATGCTCTAGTAAAATTACCCAAGGTGGGGGACAAGCAGCATACCTCTCCATAGATTCTAAATGTTCCAGTATCTTCATCTAGCTCAATAGCTGTAACTCCAGGAACCTTTCTAGCTTGCTGTATGTTACTACCATGTGTTCCTATCGCCAGGCCCATCAAATCTTCTCTCACAACAAATTCCTCATGAAAAGCTGCTGCAAGTTGCTTTGTGCACTAGTAAAAGAGGCAAATTAGTATTATAAAAGATAAAAAAAAAATTTTTGTACACCCATGTTCACAGCATTATTTACAATAGTCAAGAGGAGGAAGCAACCCAAAGGTCCACTGAATGATGAATAAACAAAATGTAATATATACACACAATCAGAATTATTCAGCCTTAAAAAGGAAATTCTGATACATGCTACAACATGGACAAACACTGAGAACATTATGCTTAGTGAAATAAGCTAGTCACAAAAAGACAAACACTATATGATTCCACTTACAACAAGGTTATCTAGAGTAATCAAATTTGTAAAAACCAAGTAGAATGGTGGTGGCCTGGAGCTGGGGGAAAGGGAAATAGGAAGTTGTTTAAATGGACACAGAGATTCAGTTTTGCAAGATGAAAAGGTTCTGAAGATTGATTGTTCAACAGTGTGAATATATTTCCCAATACTATGAACTGCGCACTTAAAAGTGGTTAGGATGGTAATATTATGTTTATTCTACCACAATTTAAAAAAAAGGAGAAAAAAAGAAAAAAGGTAGTTCACTTGGTCATGTAATGGAAGAGGGAAGTCTGATCATTCTATTTAATCATGGTCACAGAAAACAGTAATTTTAAAACAATTTTCCAGAATTACTCACACAGGGAGCTCTCCAACTCAAATGATTCCTATTTCAAAACTCATCCACGTATCACTTGTTTGGAAGTTTGAAATTAGTTAAGGGCACTCATGTACTTGTTTTAAAGATAAACAAACCTCAATTTCCCTAAGACAGTGCGCAGGAGCACACGTATGTGTGGGAGGGAGTAGGGGCAACAAATCACCTAATAATGTGGCAGTGAAAAGGAGAAGAAAACAGGAGTACCTCAGGACAGAATAGAGAGAAGCAATGACAGGCTCTTTTTTAAAACTACAAGCCATGTGACCTCCTCTCTTCTTACCCAAGAGTTGTTATACTAATGAACTAGTTACTGAGAAAGTGCATTGATAGCTCACAGAGTAAAAAAACAGAAGTAAAAAACAGAGTAAAGAACTAGCTTTATTCTGTTGGAAATCCCTAGTGAGTTTCTAAGCTCTTTGGCACCATTCAGTTATTTAGCATTTTTTGATAAAAGTAATAGAGAAAAGTAACTCTAAGGACACAATAATTCCAATTATCAGCCATAAAAGAGTTCCCAAGTTGCCTTACCTAACAATCAAATAGCTTCAGCCATAGAACTTGAATAATATACTCACGAAACTAAATGAGAAGCACAAAAAACCTTTTACATGTAAACCCACTTACTTCTAAATGCTTAGTGGCCTCTTCATTTCTGGACATAAGCATCAACTTTGTACGAATACTTCGCAAATGCATGTCACTCAAAATATTTACTCTCTTCACAGTTGCTTCACTGGCAGACTATAAACAAACAAGTTACTCATTCAAAAACTTAAACCGTTTTTCTAAGATAATACAAACACAACCTTCCAAATAAAGCCTCCCTTGATTTTCATCTACTGTGCTCTCCTCACCTAACATGCACCCCCCTCCCACAAGTAATCTTACTTGCTTTCTTAATTTCCATATTACTTAGATCTGCTCTTCAAATTATAATGGGGGGAGGAGGGATATAGAATCCAGGATCCCATACATTAAGAATTTTATGAGGTAAAGAATGCTGTATTAAGATTTTTCCTCCTTTCTCCAGGAAAGATTTACAAATTAACAATTTTATAACTGCAAAATAATTTTCCCCCATATTGTATTTTAATAAAGTCACCATAAAACAAGTTATCTTTTATCTTCGAAATATTTAATTATAAAATATGTGCAATGTACAGTTTAATAAAGTGAAAAATGTTAGTCACTCAGTCCTGTCTGAGTCTTTGCAAACCCCATAGACTGTAGCCTGCCAGGTGCCTCTGTCCATGGAATTCTCCAGGCAAGAATACTGGAGTGGGTTGCCATTCCCTTCTCCAGGGGATCTTCCTCACCCAGGGATTAAATCTGGGTCTCCTGCATTGTAGGCAGATTCACAATATCCGCTATATACCTTAAAATATGGAGTTATCTTACCAGTATCATTAGCTGTGTTGTTTCTGGATGGTAAAAAATTCTGCATGCTCCTACTGCTTTCTTAAAATCTTTATGTGCATTTTCATTAGCACACCTAAGGAGAGAGTAATTCACATGTAAGACTGAAACAACAGGTTAAATTTAGAGGGCAATTATAATGAAAACTCTTGTATTTCATACTGACACCACCCATTGAAAACTTTTGTCTGTAAAAAACATTTCCATCAAAGTTTTAATCGGGGGTTTGGGGTAAAAAAGATTTTTGTAGCCCTGAAAAATCCTCTTAATTCACAAAGCAATTCAACAGTAAACAAAATTACTCACGCCTCTCTCAAATCCTCAGGAACATCCACTGTGCATTTAAAGAAGGTATTTTTTTTGACAGTTTTATTTTGATTGACAGGCCGAAGTCGTTCAAATGTGACTATTTCATTGTAAGTGGCATCACAAGCAGCATATTCAATGACATAAAACTAAAAGACATCAAAACACTTTAAAAATCCCATCCGAATAAAAATAATGAGCTTTAAATGAAGTTCTAATTACTTTGCTTGGCTTAAGCAGTAGACCCTCCCCTTGTGGCACGAATACTAAGCACAGCTTAGTTATAACAACCTGATTTGCCTAAACTAGATTAGAGGTTCTTAAAAGCAAGAACTCTGGTGGTCTTCACATGCTTGCAGAATACCTCTGGAGAGCAGCTTTGGTGTTTGCAAATCCAGAACAGAAACAGAAATTAATGATCTGATGAATTTTTGAAATACATGATTATTTCTGAAATAGGCTTTTTAACAACAAAACTAAGAGTTGGAGTAACAGTTACAGAAACCAGGAGTCAACATATTTCCTTGAAAATTAATCACAAAGCAAGTTTTAACATCACTTACTTCTCCTTTCATCATTCGAACTTTAGCTAACCACCATCCACATGGTTCTTGATCATTTGCTCTTGAATATACCTGATGGGAAAAAAAGTGCCCTTATTCATTTATCCCGAAAGATTAACACTGTAAATAATGACTTTTTATAAGTGCAAAATTATGTTAAATTCAAGAATCAAAAAATGTTACTGTGAACAAGATGAAACTGCTGCATAAGTGTAATGTAATAAGAACTATATATGCATAAGGCAGAGGAATCAGAGATCAAATTGCCAACATTCACTGGATCACAGAGAAAGCAAGGGAATTCCAGAAAAACATCCACCTGTTTCACTGACTATGCTAAAGCCTTTGACTGCGTGGATCATAACAAACTGTGGAAAACGCTTAAAAAGATGGGAATAGAACACCATCTTACCTGTCTCCTGAAAAACCTGTACATAGGTCAAGAAGCAACAGGTAGAACCTTATATGGAACTGACTGGTTCAAAACTGGGAAAGGAGTACAACAAGGCTGTTTATTGTCACCCTGTTTGTTTAACTTATATCAGAGCACATCATGCAAAATGCCGGGCTGGATGAGTTACAAGCTGAAATCAAGATTGCCAGGAGAAATATCAACAACCTCAGATATGCAGATGATACCACTTTTAATGAGAGAAAGCAAAGAGGAACTGAAGAACCTCTTGATGAGGGTGAAAGAGGAGAGTGAAAAAGGCAGCTTAAAATTCAATATTAAAGAAACTAAGTCAAGGTATCCAGTCCCATCGCTTCCTGGCAAACAGAAGGGGAAAGCTGGAAGCAATGACAGATTTCCTCTTCTTGGGCTCTAAATCACTGCAGATGGTGACTGTAGCCATGAAATTACAAGACAATTACGTCTTGGTAGGAAAGCTATGACAAATCTAGACAGCATATTATAAAAGCAGAGACATCACTTTGCTGACAAAGATCCATATAGTCAAGGCCATGGTTTTTACAGTCGTCATCTATGAATGGGAGAGCTGGACCGAAGGCTGAGCACTGAAGAACTGATACTTTCAAACTGTGGTGTTGGAGAAGATGTTCTTGAGAGTCCCTTGGACAGCAAAGAGATCAAACCAGTCAATCTTAAAGGAAACCAGACCTGAATACTCACTGGAAAGACTGATGCTGAAGTTCCAATACTTTGGCCACCTGATGCAAAGAGCCAGCTTATTGGAAAAGACCCTGATACTCGGCAAGATTGAAGGCAGGAGGAGAAGGCGACAGAGGATGAGATGATTGGATGGCATCACTGATTCAGTGGACATGAGTTTAAGCAAACTCTGGGAGATGGTAAGGGACAGGGAAGCCTGGCATGCTGCAACCCATGGGGTCGCACAACTTGGTGACTGAACAACAACGTATATGCTTAAATTTTACTACTGAAAAACAGAATTGAACCTGTTTGGGCAATTTGGTGCCCTGAAAATTGAACTTCAAATTCATGCAAGTCTAGTCTAGTGAAAGTGTCAGTCCAACTCTAGTGGAAGTTGCATCCAACTCTTTGTGACACCATGGACTGCAGTCCAACAGGCTCCTCTGTCCACAGAATTCTCCAGGCAAGAATACTGGAGTGGGTAGCCGTTCCCTTTTCCAGAGGATCTTCCCAACCTAAGGATTATACCCAGGTCTCCTGTATTGCAGGCAGAAAACTTAACCATCCGAGCCACCAGGGAAGCCCCAAGTTTATGTGTCTAATAAACATAAATAAGTACTATTATAAAGAAATGTTTCTTACAAGACAGTTTCACATAGTGTAAAGCACACATCTTTAAGCTTCTGTCAACACTGTTCATCTCTGAGCATGGCATTCTGATGATTTACGTATCAGAAGTGAGGATAAGCTAGAACTTTAATAAGATGTATTTTAAATCTGGTATCAGTGTTGATAAAACGCTGAAATTAAGAATTGTTTTTAGAAAGTGATAAACCCTATTTTAAAATTCCTTCAAGGTATCACATTTAAATCCTTTGCTAAAGAACTTAGAAGTACTAAAGTCTATGATTAGTCACTCGGTTGTGTCTGACTCTATGTGACCCCATGAACTGTAGAACATCAGGCTCCTCCCTTTATGGGGATTCTCCAGGCAAGAATATTACAGTGGGTGGCTAAGCCCTCCTCCAGGGAATCTTTCCAACCCAGCTCTCCTGCATTGCAGATTCTTTACCATCTGAGCCACCAAGGTCTAGCTAACAACAAAAACATTATTTAGTCCATCTAGCAGAGTAAGTTATCTTACAAAACCACCTATCCAAAAAAAAAAAAAAAAAGAACCCTGTTATCTTATATACTCTACAATAATCAACTGTTTCAAAATATAATAGATTAGAAAAGTTTCCATTGAGGATTAGAGCTGTTTCTTATGACACAGCTGCTTGATATATTTTCAATACATGGAAAATGAGGTGGGGAAGGGAAGGCTGGGAAAAGATGACCAATACACACCTACAAAATATTGATTAAACTAAGGCTGTCCCTACACAGGTGGGTGGAGATATCTACCCATCAATACATGTTAACAGCCATTTGTGAAATAATGCAAACAACTACTGACAGGCAAATAGTTTTGGAAAAGTCTGAAGCTTCTATCAAGATGATGTGAAAGTAACCTTGGAAGTGGTGGAATTACTGGAACTAAAAATAAATAAGCCAAAATTTCATGTTCAACTTTAATGTATACCATGGTTAGAGAAAAGCTATGAGGGGGGAAAAAAGCACATTTACCACAAAGCTTCAGTGAACTCAATTTTAGCTTTTGCATTTCTCATATACATTTCATGACTATCCTTTCTTACAGATCTTGCAAGAAGATAAGACACTTCACCTTTTTTTAGAATAGAATAAAACTCATTGCAGTTACTATATGTATTCAGGGGAAAAATGAAAGTTAAAGTGTTAGTCGAGTTGTGTCTGACTCTTTGACTCCATGGTCTGTAGCCTGCCAGGCTCCTCTCACGGAATTCTCCAGGCAAGAAAATTTTCTTCTCTAGGGGATCTTCCCAACCCAGGGATTGAATCCAGGTCTCCTGCATTGCAGGCAGATTTTTTTCTACTACTAGCACCACCGAGGAAGTCCCTTCTAACAGATCTTCCAAAAAAATTAGACACTTTACCTTCTCTTAGAATGGAATAAAACTCATTGCAGTTATTGTATGTATCCAGTGAACCCTTACATAAATCTAAGGTAGAGTCCAGGAACCTTATTTTTCCTGTATCCTAAATATTCAATACTTCGATATCTTCTTTGACTAGAAAGGAAAAGATGATAAATGCACAAAATGCAATGGGTTAGTCAATCCAATTGGTTATATGAAGTGGTGTAATTATAGCACAAAGATGATAATACTCAGGATTCTCTGGTTGCTCAGCAGTAAAGAATCTGACTGACAATGCAGGAGACATGGGTTTGATCCCTGGTCTGGGAAGATACCCCACAAACCTTGGAGCAACTAAGCCCGCATCTTTCAACTACTGAGCGCACGTGCTGCAACTGCTGAGGCCTGTGTGCCTAGAGCCTGTGCTCCACAATGAGAGAAGCCACTGCAATGAGAATTCCATGCACCACAACTAGAGAGAAGCCCAAGCAGCAATGAAGACCCAGCACAATCAAAAAATAAATAAATAAATAATTTTTTAAAATGGCAATACTCAATTCCAGTGATCCCCAACCTTTTGGCACCAGGGATGGGTCTCATGGAAGACAATTTTTCCACGGACTAGGGGTAAGGGGAAAGGTTTTGGATGATTCAAGTGCATTACATTTATTGTGCACTTCATTATTATTACATCAACTCCACCTCAGATTACCAGGCATTAAATCAGAGGTTGGGGACCCCCGAGCTCTAGTCAATAAAATCAGAAGCCATCAAAAATTCCAAAATACAACTGACCCTTGAACAACAAAAGGGTTAGGGGCTCATTCATCCTCTATGGGATTGAAAATCAAGTGTTAACATAGCCACCCCTCTATATATAGTTCCACATCTGCAAACTCAACCAACCGCTGATCATGTAGTACTACCATATTTTCTATGAAAATATGAAAACAATCTGAGTGGGAATTCCCTGATGGTCCAGTAGTTAGGACTTTACACTTTCAGTGCCAAGGGCCCAGGGAGTTCAATCTCTGGTCAGGGAACTAAGATCACATAAGATGTTGGGGGGACGGTGGGCAGTGGTAGAGTGGATGTGGGCGGGGGGGGGGGGGCAGGGGGTGTAGGATCTGAGTTTAAATGGACTCATGCAGATCAAACCCATGTTGTTCAAGTGTCAACTGCATTCTAACCTAAATGCATTGATGCATTCTGATAATTCCAGGGTAAGATGAAACAGAAGATAAACTAGAACTTACAGAGACAGACTTTAAATGTGGTATCAGTATTTATTACAAGATGTGTATGTTCTGGGTTTATACATGATAGCTGATGATACACAGAAAACTTTGCTCATTTTAGGTATGTGTGTGCTAAGTCGCTTCAGTCACATCTGACTCTCTCTGACCCTATGGACTGCAGCCTGCCAGGCTCCTCTGTCCAAGGGATTCTCCAGGCAAGAATACTGGAGTGGGTTGCCATGCCCTCCTTCAGAGGATCTTCCCGACCCAGGGATCAAACCCAAGTCTCTTTAAGTCTCTGGCATTGGCAGGCAGGTTCTTTATAACTACAGCCACCAGGGAAGACCCACTGTCTTAAACCCTATGTTTAAATGCTAATTAAAATACCTAATAATGCTGATCTTCACCACCCTTTTATTCTTACTTCTGTAAATTTATATGTAAAATGACTTAAAAATACAAAAAATTTGTAAAAATGGTCCATTAGACCCAAATGGTAAATTATGACTACTTCCCCTAGTATGAAAATTAAAGAAACAAAAAGAAAACCTTGAAAACAAGAAGCGCCCCTTCCAACTGCTACCTGAGAATGGCAGGTCAGCTAAACAGACTGATGGACCTCTTGTTGATCCATAGTGGATGGCTGCCTCAAGCTTGAATGCTGAAAAACGGGTCTTAAAAACACCTGTTCTATTTCTATTTTCACCAAAGAATAACTGT